TAATATCAGACTATGTCTTTTATTGTGCCCCAGTGGAGACTCCTCTCCATTTCAGCTCAGAACAGCCAAGGATAACCACATAGGCTGCTGGTGCATACCTGGAATTCTCTATTTCTGCCATGAAGGAAAACTTACCTTAGGCTCTCAAGTGTCTCAGACTCTTCAGAAGTGATGAGGCATGGAATAGGCTCTGCTGAGACAGATGTGAAAGGCTGCCCTTTACCGATCACCTCCAGCCCATCCAGATCCTGGACATACAGAAATGACCAACTCTTGATTTCTCTCTTTATACAGGAAGGAAGTAAAAATACCAGACAAATGTACCATCTGAGCCAAGTAAAGTGAAGTGGAGATATCTTGCTCCTATGATGGTTTTTAGAGCTATCCAACATATGTTCCAAAGACACAGGAAGGAACCAGTTCTGGCTCCCCCAAGAATCCTAGATGACTGCATTGCCCACTACAAGTGATGCATGGATGGGAAAAGTCTCCTTCACACACATTTCTCATCCCCAGAGCCAGGTCTCAGAAAGGAAAAGGTGAGGTTTGCCCAGCTTTTAAGAGGAGGGGCTACCTGCCTGCAGGAGATGATTTCAGATGTGTGTCTTTCACATGGGTAAAGGTGTCTTCCCTCTGCCCTAAGGCACTAAGTCAAACCCCTACATCACTATTTGGCAGGTTTCTTCATTGCCCGGGTCTTGGCAGCTGCATGCTGCTGGTTCAGGGTCCTATTCTGAGGCTCCTAGACCATTCCATGCAACACTTAGGGAGGGTCAACAACCCCTTCATGGCCCTTTGGAAATGTGGGAACTTCCAAGAAAACTTCTGTGGGGATTATGGTTTAGATTTCTGATGCTTTTTTCAGATCCAGCTCTTGGCAATTTTATGTTACTGTATAGCATCTGAGAAGAGAAGAGAGATGCAAAGAATGTGCTTGCTCCTCCAGTCTTACCGGCTTATAGAAATCTAGCTCCTCTAGGACAGATTTTAGCTCCTGCCGCCGATGTTTCAGGAAAAGACTCTTATCCCAGGTTAGATGGAAGGGGATCCTCTTTGGAGGCTTCAGGCCTGTGGAAATACCCATATAGGAGCTCACTGTCTACATACCCACACGCCTGTTCATTTCCTCCTCTGCCAAACTTTGGTCTCATGGTGTTTTAAAGAGGAGAACCAACAGATGACTGGGAAGCAGCTTGTGCTGCACCTATCAGAAGGGACAATTCTAATGTGAGCCTTGGTACTCCTGTGAGTCACTGTTTCTGCTGATCCCTCCACACTGGTACCCCATTTCTATGAAACCACCTCTCTGTGATGTTCCCTTACCCGTCTCCATCCGGACAGTGTGGGGTTTCCCCACGTGAGTGACTGGCCCTGGGTACCCACGTTCACTCTGAGTCAGGGTCATCGTCAGGCCTGTGAGTTCACTTCCAATACGATCGGGCTGGCTCCAGAACTCGCTTCCTTTTCGGTAACCCTAGGGAGGAAATCAGGGCTCCCACTGACACTCTGAGCTATTCTCACAGAGACCAGACGCTAAGAAGAAGAAGGGGTCCAATTCTGCTTATGGGAACACTTAAAAAGCCTGTAAGTTATCACTTCCTGCAGAGCAAGCCAAAATTCCTATCAGGCTGCTGTCAAAGACAAAAGCACTTTCTTCTACCCAGTGCTATATGAAGGTTGAATGATATTAAAATAAAGCCTCACACAAATATGAATTCTTTGATAGTGCTATAAATGTCAAATAAAACATTTTAACATAGGATACTCCCATAATCCTCCTGACTTGCCCATACCCCTTTCTCCATGGCAACCCTCTAAAAATCGAGCTTTCTGTCGCTGGAACAGCATTTGTGCCACTCCCCATGCACGACAGCCTTTGGTGAGAATCGTGAAATGGCACTTGCCCACATACAGCAGCTCGTAAGCAAGGAGCCAAGCACATCACCACTTTCCTCTGACCAGTGTTCATGGCTTCAGTTTTAAAGTCTCTGCTTGCACACTGGGCTAAAGGACTTGGAGTGGCTTTCATAAAGACCTAATGACAGGTCTTCAGGGATGTTACTCATAACACCGTGTCTCAGCTCTGTCACAAGAACAGAGCAGTCAGGATGCAGATGAAGCGGGGCTCTCACCTTTCCAGGAAGCAGGGCGGGGAGAGTCCTGTCAATGAGGTCACGTTCTTCCTGGATTTGCCTGTAACCCTCTGAGATGCTCATCAACAATTCATTCTCTGGCCTCTGAAGGACTTCTATAAAGAGGAAACACCAAATCACTGGTGCTGCACTTCTGGTCACACCCTTTACCGCTGCTGTGATTCATGTGTAACCCCCTTACACTGTCCCCCACCAAATCCACTGTCCTTTTCCCAATTAGAACCACCAGCTCACCTCCCCACAGCACCCATGGCCGCCAGTGTGGGGAGCCCTGAGAACATGGAATTAAGACTGCAGTGGCAACAGGATTAAACCTGGTTGGCTATGACCCCTACACTTTGTTGTGGTGCCACCAAACTCCACCATCTGCACACAGTGTCACAGAATGAGGCCTCAGCTTTTCTCACCTCCTATATATTTCTCCTGCTTCTTCCTGATTGCCATATTATGATACCAGTTTTGGAGAGCTTTGTGCCCTTCTAGTGAGGTCTGATGAACCTTTTTCTTCTTCTCTCCTCCATGTTTCTCTTTTAAAGCTGCTGCAGTAACATCTGGATGAGAAACCTCAATAAGATCTGCTAACTGAAGAGAAGGGAAATACTAAATTAACCTCTGCACGCACACAGGAACACCACAATGAGAATGGGAGAGGCGAGAAGAAAAGAACTCTTCAGATTGACATTACTTTTACCTTATCACCCCGAGAGGAACAAAACCAGGGCATTGGGAACACACTCAGAAACAATGGAAGGATTTATCTGAGTCATTTGACTCGAGCAATGGTATTGCTGCAATTCGACTCAAGCAATGGTATTGCCGCAACAGCAGAAGCACATACGGAAGTGGAAGCCACCGTAACTCTTCCCTCCGTGACCTCCTCCTGCATACAGGACTTCAAAACCTGCTGGTGCAGTTTGTCTGAAGGCAAAGGCCTCCCTGCAGAGCGTGACAAGGCTGGGAAAACCACACCTCAGGCCTGAGCTGCTCCTGACATGCGCTGGAGAGCATCGGAGGGTACAAGTGCCACAGAGCAGCACTTCCGTAGCTTTACGAACTAACCCGAGTGTTTCCTCTGGCCAAGGCTTCCATCTTGAACTCCTGGAGACTCCCCAGAATGTGATGAGGGAGAATCTTTCCACAGCCATCACCAAACTGTCCTGCTCCTACAACACACACAAAACCACCGACCCCAGAGGTCAGGCCACCAGAGCTGGGCTCGGCAAAACCAACCCACAAAAGGTAAGATGTGAAGCTTGACCCTACCAGCAAATGTCAGTGGTGCTGTGGGCACCTCTGGGGAAGCAGGACACGCCACGAGGAGCTGCGTCTCCTTTGTCTCTTTGGGTTGGTGCTTTCGAACAAAGTATTTCTTCCTGACCGAAGCTTTCCCAGCACCTTGGGGAGGGCGCGGAGCATGAAGCTTCAGGAAAGAAACAGTCACAATGCAATCAGGTACATGCTACTCACCGCCATTCCTTCTGATCCTTCTAGGATACACAGTCACTCAGTGCAGGATGGTCCTCCCCTAAGAGGCACGTTACACAACTGTGCAGATACCAGCTCAGTTATTGGCTCATTCTTATAACTGGGGCAGGGAAGAGAGACTTAAATCACTTTCCCAATAGTTTTCTGCTGTGTCACTTGGTGTCAAGGTGCTTCCACTCACACAGGTTGACCCCAGTTTTGGAAGTGATGCCATGACAGCTACTGAACAACTTCCGTATCTTTTTAGACCGGAAAGTTGGAACCATAACTGTGAAGATGCAGATGACTTCTCCTCCTACCTGAAGAGGCTGTGTAAGGATCAATAATCCTCTACTTTTGGCAGCTGAACTGCCAAGTCATAAAAAGCAGGACAAATGGAAGGAGAACTGAACCCCAAGAGTGAGTTCTGCTTGAAGTAAATGGCCTCCAGAATCAGTGTCAGGTAAGGGAGCTCCTTCTATCAGTACCAATACATACTTTCTCCAGGTCCTCCACCTTAATGGCAAGCGCCTGGATGTCATCTTCTTGCAGGACACATGGAACGGGCTCCGGCTCTTCTGCAATGGTTGAGGGGGGCGATTCCTGTGTCTTTTCCTTCTTGTCTGAAAAACAGATGAAGAAACCTCCTCTTCAGCCTCCCGATTCCTCTCTCAGCCTGGCCGCTCATTGCTGAACTCTGTTTAGTTCAGTATATTTAGGGCTGGGTTTTTTTCAGGTAGCACAATACAAACTCAGCATCAATTCTAATTGGAAAAACCAAACTGAGAAGCCACAAGGACCAAAGTGAGTCACCAGGATTCGACTACCTCACGCTTTATTCTTACACACGACACACACACAGCCCGTGCTTCCCGCACGGAGAACAAATTCCTGCCGTTTCCCACCCCAGCTCCGGAGCACAATTCCAACAGCAAGGCACGGATTTTCACAAGCTCTTAAACAGCGAAACAGCCCTTAAATACCAACTGCCAGCACAGGGGACCACCAGGCAGGCCCTCAGCTCAGACAGACCCACCGCAGGGTTATGTGCCCGCTTATCCTCATCCCGCGTCCGCTCCAGCTGGGGCTGGGTTAAAACGCGAGGACGATGAGGACGGGGAGGGGAAGGCGCTGATTTGCGGTGGCTCGGGAGCACCGGGGATGCTGGGCCCGGGTCCGGGTCATGCCCAGGGGGGTCCCGTCCAGCCGTACCCTGCGCGGTGCTGGCCTGGCTCTCCCTCCGGGTCAGCGCAGGCCGGGTCCCCCCGTACTCGGCCGCACCGCCTCGCCGCGCTCCTCGGCCGGGTGCCATGGCAACAACGCCGCTTCCCGCGGGCACTGCGCAGGCGCCGGAGCCCGCCCCGTCCCGTCCCGGCTCCCACAGGCAGCGACCGCCGGTTCCAGCACCGGGATCCTTCCGCCCGAGGTGGGTCCCGGTGCGGCCGGGCCCCAGGCCCGCTGCAGCTGGCAGAGCAGGTCGGGCAGCAGCGAGTTCAGCACCGCCAGGCCCAGCGCCGTGCACCGCAAGCCGCTGCGGGGAAGCGTTGGTTGAGCCCCGGTACCGGAACTCCTCCCTCCGTCCCGGTACCCCCCGCCTCCGGTGCTCACCCGCCGTCCAGCACCATCCATCCCTGCTGCTGCAGCGCCTGCCCCGGCGCTCCGAACACGGCCTCCAGGCTGAGGTGGGGGGAGAAGCGGCCCCAGCGCTGCACGACCGGGAGCAGGCGTTAGCACCGGTGTTAGCGCTGCGGGGAGCCCCGGCCCGGCCGGCTCCTCACTCACCTCGGGGGGGATGCCCTCGTCCGTCCGCAGCCCCAGGGCGAGCACCTCCTCCAGCCTGCGGGCACATGGGGAGATGCAGAGAGTGCAGCATGAGGGGAGTATGGAAAGGTGGGGGACCATGGTCCTGTACTCACTGCTCCAACGGGCTCAGCATCACCCGCTTCCCGGTGCCGTGCCCCCGGCTCTGCACTGCCTGCATCCAGGCGATGGGTTCCAGCACCTGGACACGGGCCTCCCGGCTGCAGCCACCCTCGCCCTGCGGTACAAACCGCCCGTGTGCCCCTGCAGCGGCAGAGAGGGGGCAGTGGAGCTTGGGGAGGCACACACAGCCATGTACAGCCCCAGTCACCCCTGCTTACCAGGCCCCACACCGATGTACTGCTCAGCCCGCCAGTAGGAGAGGTTGTGGGTGCTGAGGGCGCCCTATGGGAGAGCGTTGTATGGGGTGATGGGGCTGACCCTACTGCAGGGGTGGCACAGCGCATGGGGGGGCAGCACGGAGGGCACCCCACCTTCCTTGCAAAGTTGGAGACTTCGTAGTGCCGGAAGCCAGCAGCCACCAGCGTGGTGCGTGCTGCCTGGTACATGTCAGCCAGGAGGTCCTGGGGGGGTGCAGGCAGGGCTCCCCCCCACACCTGTGCTGCCAGCGCTGTGCCCCGCTCCAGCGTCAGCTGGTACAGGGAGATGTGGTCATCGCAGAGCCCCAGCGCTGCCTCCAGCCTCTTGGTCCAAGCATCCAGGCTCTGCCGCGGCAGCCCAAAGATCAGGTCGATGGAGGTCCGGCCAGGGAAGAGGCCTCGTGCTGCTTCCACAGCCGCCTGTGCCTCCACTGCCGTGTGCTCCCGGCCCAGCAGCCGCAGCTCAGCATCGTCCAGTGACTGCAGAGAGAGCACAGTGGCAGTGGGGAGCACAGGGGGGCTGCAGGGGATGAGATGGGGAGAGCAGCTCTCACCTGTACGCCGATGGAGAGGCGGTTGACGCCGGCTGCCTTGAAGCCAGCGAGGCGCTGTGTGGTGGTGGAGCTGGGGTTGGCTTCCAGCGTGACCTCGGCACCAGCAGGGAGGTGGGCAGCCCCTGCCAGAGCCTCCAGCACCGCTGCGATGGTGCCAGGGCTGGCCAGGCTGGGGGTGCCACCACCGAAGAACACAGAGGTGATGCTGTAGGGCAGATAATGGAGTGGGGGGGAGCTGTGGGGGGAGCACTGAAGGGCTCTGTGCTCCCCCATTGTCCCCATGCACCCACCTCTTCACCTGGCTGAGCTGGAGCAGGGTGCGTGCCTCCTGCACCAGGCAGGCGCGCACGGCCGCCTCGTCCACCGCCGGCACCACGTACGTGTTGAAGTTGCAGTAGGAGCAGCGCTTGCGGCAGTAGGGCCACTGCGGGCATGGGTGCCATGGGGAATGGCAGCACACTCACCCCAGGACACCCCGCTTTGAGCACATAACCCACGGGGGCCACCCTCCACATGCACAGCTCAGGGACCCACATAGCATCCCCACCACTCCAAGGCAAGGGAGCCTCATGTGTGCACCATGACACCTACAAGGACAGGGTGCCCTCGCATGTGTGCACCCACATATATATAACCCCCAAGGTCCCACTTTCACCCCCCGAACATGCGCAAGCATCAGAGTCCCATGTGTACCCCTACATGTGCAAGCTCCTGGGTCCCACATGCACCAACCCACGTGTGCAAACCCCGGGGTCCTTCCCCCCACCACCACCCCCGTGTGCAACCCCGGGTTCCCCGCTCACATGCACGTAGACCGAGGCTGCGGCGGGGGCAGCCGCTTCCGGGACCGGTTCCGAGGCAGGACCGGCTCCCGGGGCCCGTCCCGGGCCGGGCCGCACCGCAGCGATCGCCGCCGCCCGCCGCCAGCCCCGCGCCGCCATGGGCACCGCAACCCCGCCCCGGGGCGGGCACCGCGCTCGCCCGCCCCTCGGGGGGGACGGGAAGGGAACGGGGCAGAGCCGGGGCCGGTGGCGCTCCGAGCGCCGCACGCAGGGCCCCGGGGAGGCTTTGGTACCCCGGGAGCTGCCCCCGTCCGGCGCTAGCGGAGGAGGTTCCGCTTTTCTGTGCCTCCGCAAACGCGGCACTGAGGTTCCAGACGTTACTTGCTCTGTTAATAGCCACGGGGGAGCGAGAGCTGCCTGCGGCACGAGTCACGGCACCAGTTCCTGTTAACAGGCCACGAGTTTGGGGTATCTCACGCTTGATGTAACCCTCTCTGCCCGCAAGAGCCCCCGGCTCCGGCAGTTTCCGAGCGTTATAGGAGCAGGAGCAGGTACAGGGAAGGGCAGGAGCCATGGAGCCTGCTGCCAGCCACGGCGATCATCCCTTCCCCTCCTGTGCGTGTTTACAACCGGGGTTGCTTTGTCCTGGTGGGCTGGGGTGGATGTGGGACTTCTCAAGGGGTGGCCTGGCTGGTGGGAGCCGAGCTCCTGCCGCTCTGCCTGCAGGAAGGGGCCTGCGCTGCCCTTCTCTCTCTCCCCAGGAAACCTCTGTCTTTCCTTTTCTTTCTCTGCTTTCCCCTCAGTTCCCACGTCTTATCTGGGCTTTACTTGGCCTCCAAAATGCATTGCTTAAGTTCTCGTCTGTTCCATTTTCCCTTGATTATCTCAATAAAGACATCAGGCATCAGCTCTGGGAGACATCTTTCTTTCCTCCCTCTTCTCCAATCCCAGCCAGCAGAGTATCCAGAAGCGTTCTTCCCTTGGTAAAACTATGGCTTTCTCCATAGTTTCTGGGCTTGACAGAGCCTCCTCTTTTGCCCTTGACATCCCATGGCAATGGAGATTGCCTTTCCACAAGTGCAACGAGCTGGACAGCTGGGCCCTCCATGGCTGTAGCAAGAACTGTGGTTGCCTGGCAAAGGTAGAGTGCAGCACTCAGAGATCTGGATGGTTGTGGTCTCCCTGGCTGTACCCAGAGAACTTCTGGGCTGAGCAGGCATTTCCTGACAACCTGGAATAGAACTGTTGTGGAACACACACACCACTGAGGTCAGGATGGAACTGATGGCTGAAGCCAATCATCTTATGAGCCTGTAAGTAATTGCCCCAGGAGAAAGACACTTTGGGCTCTCCTGGACTGCACTGAGCTGCAACCAGGTCTCTCCCTCTGAGTGGGGCACCCCTCAGAGTTCATAAACTCTCAAGGTTATGTTCCACTGCACGCACCATTGGCCAAGTCTGAGACCAGGATAGGAGCCAGGCACAACCAGGCTCCATCAGGAGTTTAGAAAGCAATAGGGGTCTGTTCTGAATGTTGTCACTTAAGGGGAGGGTCCCCCTTATCCTTGTCACCTTCAGTCTCAATACAAATCATTTTAGCTTGGTTCTACCTTGATTTTCCCTTATGCATTCCATTAGACACAAATTGTTGACCAAGTCTGAGACTAAGACAAGATCCAGCTGCATCCAGGCTCTGTCAGGAGTTTAGAAAGCAGGGGGCATCCGTTCTGAGCCTCACGACTCAGCAGCAGCATCTCCCTTACATCTTTGTGTCTTCAGGCCCTATATCAATCCCCTTTAGCTCGGTTTCACCTCAATTTTCCTCTCTACATCTATGTAATAAGTAGTAGAGTGAGCCTTGCCATCAAATTCTGTTCAATCATGCCTTATTTATAAACTGCTCTTGCTAGTACCTCTGATGGTCATTTTTTGAAGCATCATTGGCATCATCAGTAGCAGCAGCATTAGGATAAGGAGCAGCAGCAGCAGCAGTGGCAGCAGTGGCAGCAGTGGCAGTGGCAGCAGCAGGAGGACTGACACGGACGAGGTGGCCGAGTGGTGAAGGCGATGGACTGCTAATCCATTGTGCTCTGCACGCGTGGGTTCGAATCCCATCCTCGTCGATGAGCTCAGTGTGTGCCCCAGATAAGACTTTGTTTTGAGATGACAATGGCCTGAAGAGACCATGCAAGGTTTTCACGTGGCTCAGCACATACCTCAACCTCTTCTGTCTGCACCTAGGCAAGAGGAACAAGAAGGGAAACAAGGGAGATCCATAAACTCACAGATCCCTGTTTCCTTGATCCCTGCAATGATGAGAGAGCAAAACACCTGGAAGTGTTTTACAAGAACAGGTAGCACAGGAAGGTGCTTGGGAGTTGGAGGCATGGATTTATGAAGGAGAGAAGTCTTCCTTACCAAGCTGGTAGCCTTCTATAGGGAAGTGACTAACCCGATGGAGAAGGCAAGAGCAGTGGATGTTGTTCACCTTGCCTTCAGAAAAGCTCAGCAGGCGATACCCAAAATAGGTGAGGTCTCCTAGGGGGACAAATGAAGCTCTTAAGCCCCACTGGCTTCAGGAACTCAATTAAAGGGAGTGAGTTCTGCTGGGATTCAACTACAGCTGCAGCCTCTGGCAGGCCATCCTAGGCTGGCTCAGCATTCTTCTCATGCTGAGGATAAGCTCACAGGAGGGAGTTTCCACTGAATATGACCAATCAGCCTGATATCAAGGCAAAGAAACCAACACAGGCTGAGAAACAAAACTCAACAAAGCAAGAGCAATTGGAAGCAAGTGGAAAAACAGAAGGAAGAGCTTGGCCAGTCAGAAACAAAGTTTAAATCACCGTCCCCTTTGGAGAATAAGCTGCCCAATACTAAAGTGTCCTGGTTTCAGCTGGGATAGAGTTCTTGAGCTCCCTAAGAGCTGAGAGGAAGCAGAGACAGGACACCTGACCCCAACTAGCCAAAGGGCTGTTCCAAACCACAGCACGTCATGCCCAGTATAGAAACTGGGGGGAGTCACCCAGAAGGGACCAATCAGTGCTCGGTTCAAGCTGGGTATCAGTTGGTGGGTCCTGAGCAATTGTGTTGTGCAGCAGTGTTGGGTTTTGTCTGTTCCCTTTTTAGTTTCAGATTGTCTCCCCTTGTTATATCCATTATTATTATTATTATTATTATTATTAATTATCATTGCCATCACTATTGCCACTCGCCTGGGTCATCTGTGGAAGAGCTGAGGCTGAGAAACACAGGTCCCGCAGGGCCACGAAGGGCTCAGTAACCAGCCAGGCCCTGGCTGGATGCCTTTCTGGCCGAGGGACACAGAAAGAAGGGAACTCAGATCCCCAGAGGTGGTCGGAAGTTGAAGGCCAAAGAAGGACCCTTTGTGGGATGGAGAGAAGCACCATTGTGTGAATGAGGGGGACACTGGGAGCATTCCTAGAGGTGGCCTCAATACCAGGATAAGAAGGCTGAAGGGGGAAAGGTCTTGCTGCAGGGCAATGTGTCATTTCTCAATCACAAAAGTCTCATTCCCAAAGTGAGTCATCAGCCCCAAGGGTGCCAGCTCAAAGGGGCAGAGGAGCAAACCCATGGGCATTTGGCTGAGGGTGCTTTCCACTTTGGGTGTCCTTGCCCAGGCTGGGAAGGATGTGTCCTCTGGTGCCTGCAGTTCAAAGCAGAAGGCTTCCCAGGGAGCAAGTGCGGGACTGTGGTGTCCGCTTCCTGCCCTCGGGTGTTCCCATGTGGATGCTGAGGCAGGTGGATGCGAGTGCTCTGGAAACGTCTCTGAGCAGGAGCATCAGGGCGCATCTGTGCTGTCCTCCTTTGGCTGCTGTTTCACCCAGGAGCACGACAGGGTTGCAAGGAGTCCCCAAGTGTTTGGGCAAGATGCTGACAGTTATAGCATCATAGAATGGTTTGGGTTGGAAAGGACCTTAAGATCATCCAGTTCCAACCCCCTGCCATGGGCAGGGACACCTCACACTAAACCAGGGCACCCAAGGCTCTGTCCAACCTGGTCTTGAACACTGCCAGGGATGGAGCAGTCACAACCTCCCTGGGCAACCCATTCCAGTACCTCAGCACCCTCACAGTAAAGAACTCCTTCCTTATATCCAATCTAAACTTCCCCTGTTTAAGTTTGAACCTGTTAGCCCTTGTCCTATCACTACAGTCCCTAATGAAGAGTCCCTCCCCAGCATCCCTATAGGCCCCCTTCAGATACTGGCACACTGTACAAAAAGCTGCATGTCTGCAGGAATGAACACGGATGTGAAGCTGCACCTCTGCACATCTGAAGCCACTTCCCCCAGAGGCCCTGGTGCCAGGGCACGGGTGATTCACCCCGAAGTGGAGCTGAGGTCTCTCATAGTGGCTCAGCACTTTCTGGTGGCTGATGCTGCCCCCTTGCAATTAAAGGGCCCTGAAGGTGCCCATCTATCCCTGAGCTGGGCAGAACAAGCTGGACCCTCTGGGTCAAGTGACCCGAACAAGCCACCCTCCAGTGATGCAAAGAGGAACGATGCTGCCAAAGCCAACAGGTCCACTTGGTGATGGCTCACACTCGGGCATGAGTCAACAGCTCCTTCATCACTCTCCAGGCCACGCTGAGCCACTGCTTTCACTCGGGAGAGGGGATGAAAGGGGAAGGGGAAGCTTCCCAACCTCTGCTGAGACTTAGGCCCATGAACCTATGATGCAAGTAAGGCTCAGGGAAGCAGGGATGGGGTGACAGGGGTCTGTACCCATGTGCTGGCTGTGCCCAGTGCTTGCTGTGTTTCTCAGCAGTGTGTCTGCCCCTGCATGCCAGAGCCGACTTCACTTCTTGCCAGTAACTCCCCAGCTATGGTGAGTACATGGGGTGTTTCTGGGCAGCACTGGGGTTGGGTAAGGGGTGGTGTTATCAGACAGGAACCAGAGGAGAAGCTCCTCTCACTGCAGGCCTGGCAGGGGGAAAGCAAAGGAAGGTAAAAATTCCTTCCCTAGACACCAGACCTAGAGGTCCACTGCATCCCCAAGGTCCCTGGCTGCAGTAACAGCTCCTCTTTGGGGAAGGATGGTTTACAAGGGTCTGAAAACCAGAGCAGGGAGGAGGCCTGGGTTTTGCTTGTGCACAGCCCATTTACTCCAGGGTGGGCAGAGGTGAAATGAGGAAACACCGACTCCAGCTCCACAAGCAGTTTGGGAATGGTGGAAGAGCTTGCTGCAGAGAGACAGCATACAGGAAGGATGGAACGCAAAGCACCGCATCCCCTGTTTGTTTCCTCTTTCAGAAAGCAGATAGGAACAGCGTGCCTGTGTGCCACTGGGTCTGCTTCCATGGGTACAGCCCCCAGTCCAGCTGGATTTGAGCCCTTGCTGACTCTCCCTGTAGCATCGTTTCCCCTGGAGGAAATTCCAGCATGGAAGTGGAGGCCCAGCCGCCAGCCCTGCTCGGGCAGGAAGCAGGAGGGAGATGGCATGGATGTTGGTACCAATGTTATCCAGTTCCCAGCTGGGGTGGGACACTGCTGCGGGCAAGGAGGAGGAGCTCTGCTCTTCCCCTTCTCCAGTAGTGTTTCGTGGCTGGGAGGTACCAAATAACTACCATAAAATGCTGTCCTGGGCGTGCTCTGCTTCACAGTGACGCTGGGACAGGAGCTTTGGTATTCCTGTAACCTCCTCACTGCCTGCCTTGCCCAAAACACCACATAAACCATGCCAAGTGGACAGGCTGAGCATCTCCAGGCAGCTTTAGGGAGCCCCTTCCCATCCAAAGTCTCACTTCTAAAGCCCCTGTCCCTCATTTCAAGCTCATCCGCTGTGTTACATGACCCAGAGACTCAGCAGAGAGGGCACCCCCCTCCCTTGGGAAGCCAGGCTTTAAACACCAGTCAAATACCTCCCAGCATCCATCCAAGTCCTCTGCAATGGCTGCAGGCAAATGTCTCAGAGAGACACAAAGCTTCAAAACCCTCATAAGGTCTTTCAGTAACCCCAGAAATAAGCATCCCTCCTCACACCACAGTGTCTGACGGCAGAGAAACAAACCCAAGTGGGGACAAAGGCACTCTGTTTTATTAACTAACCCTGCCACCGGCCTGATGGCAGCAGAGAAGGTCTCCACCACACAGCACAAGGCACAGGGGAAAGAGACCCAGAGCTGGTTGAAGTGGGGCTGATTTGTGCCGTGCTTTGCTCTGCCTTCCGCAGCTCAGAGCTGAAGGTGCTTCTCCATCTGCTCCCTCAGCTTGTACTTCTGAATCTGGAATGAAGTGCGGAGAGGAGGAGGAAGAGAGGCTCAGGAGATGGAAGAGGAGGCCAGGGTACCCACCCTGCCCCAGCCCATCCCTTACCTTGCCCGAGACGGTGAGCGGGTACTGATCCACAAACACGATGTACCGCGGGATCTTGAAATGGGAGATCTGGGAAGAGAAAACAGCTCCGAAGGAACCTGCTGGGACTGCCCAAGCTGGGAATGCCAGGGCTGCATCCCCAGTTCCTCCAAATCCATGGCTGTGCCCAGTGGGATGTACTGGTCTGGTGGGGAACTAAAGATTGCGAGACCCACCTTCCCTTTGCAGAAGGCTTTAATCTCTTCCTCGGTGCATTCCTGCCCAGTCTTCAGTCGGATGCAGGCGCAGATCTCTTCTCCCATCCGTGAATCCTTCACACCAACCACCTGGTTGGGACAGATGATCATCAGTGTGACCCATGGGGACATCCCTTTCCTCCCACAGGGTATGTGTGCTGGCCATGGCGCAAGCCCTGACCTGTATAAAGGGATGAGGGATGCTGGAACCACGGCATGGGGTCTGTAAGGGCGGTTTGAACTGCCTGACCACCCCACCAGTGTTTTCTACGTGACATCGAGCCTCCCTGGAAACACTTCCCAACCATTTGCCAGAGGAAAGCTGGCAGAGCAGGCTGGGTGCCAGGACACCAACACCTTCCTTTGGCTTTGCAAAGCCACTGGAGCGAGGTAATGAGTCAGATCAGGCAGGCAGCAGGTCATTGTGAGTGCAACAGGGACCTGTCCTCCCTCTGTGTGCCTCTGCTTCCCTGGAAAAGGGGGCAAGAGGTTTCACAACCAATAGGGAGATGGGAATCTCCAGATGGAACAGCAGGAGAGGGATGGAGTGAAATGAAAGGATTAATGGCCTGTGATAGCAGGAGATGGACTTCCCACGCCTGATCTCTCTCCAAAGCTTGCTCATGCTATTCCACGAGATTCCTGCCATCATTCCCCGCCTTGAACCAGCGTCTCCAAATCCTAGAGACACGTCGATCCTTTTGAGTCCAGAGCAGTGACATAAAGCCCTAGAAACTACATAAACAGGGCTGGTTTGCAACCCATCTGCACTGGGCCTGTTCCAGGGAGAGATGCTAGCCTGGCACAGGCGCAACGCTGACTAAATAGCTGGTTTATTTATGGGGAAGGAAACTTGTCTGGCACAAAACCTGGAGCAGAACAATCCCAGCAGACTGGGAGCAGCTGCTCCGTGCTGCGAATCAGCGCTGCCTTGTGAAGGGCTGAAACCGGCTCTCGCTCCTCATCGCCAGGGACTTGTTGGAGGCGGCTTCTTGGGTTTAGGAGTTTAGTGAAGATCCGTAAATCAGTGAAAGCTTTCCAAGCAGGAATGTCAGAGGGAGCTCTGGAAGTGGACAGGCAGTTTAAAACCTGAAGAAGGATGACAGTCACTGCTGTGCAGATGTGAAGCTGGTGCACAAGAGGAACTGACATGCCCTATGCATGTCAACATAAAAAGGACATGGAACTGTTGGAACAAGTCCAGAGGAGGCCACAAGGATGATCAGTGTCTGGAGCACCTCCTGTATGGAGACAGGCTGAGAAAGCTGGGGCTGTTCAGCCTGGAGAAGAGAAGGCTGTGTGGAGACCTCAGAGCAGCCTTCCAGTGTCTGAAGGGGGGCTATAGGGATGCTGGGGAGGGACTCTTCATTAGGGACTGTAGTGATAGGACAAGGAGGAATGGGCTTAAACTTAAACAGGGGAAGTTTAGATTGGATATAAGGAGGAAATTCTTTACTGTTAGGGTGGTGAGGCGCTGGAATGGGTTGCCCAGGGAGGCTGTGAATGCTCCATCCCTGGCGGAGTTCAAGGCCAGGCTGGACAGAGCCTTGGGTGTCCCTGCCCATGGCAGGGGGGTTGGAACTGGATGATCTTAAGGTCCTTTCCATTCTATGGATTCTATGCCAGGAGCTCTGCCTGCCTCGTTGTCCCAGTTCCTGCTGGGATGGAGTTAATTTTCTTCCTAGTAGCTGGTGCAGTGCTGTGATTTTGGATGTACTGATAGGATAATGTTGATAACACACTGGTGGTTTAGTTGGTGCTCAGTAGCACTGACCCTAAGTTAAGGCCTTCTCAGTTTTTCATGCTGTGTCAGCGAGGAGGGGCACAAGAAGCCAGGAGGGAGCAGAGCCAAACTAGCCAAAGGGATATTCCATACCACAGCACATCCTGCTCAGTATAGAAACTGGGGGGAGTTGACTGGGAGCCACTGATCACTGCTTGGCATGGGCTGGGCATCAGTCATGGGGTGGTGAGCAGTTGTGTTGTGCATCACTTGTGTTTGTTGAGGTTTGTTCCCCTCTCTCTCCCCTTTCCATTACAATGATTGTATTTTACTTTATTTCAGTAATTAAACTGTTCTTAACTGATGGGTTTTACCTTTTCCTGATTCTCTTCCCATCCCATCAGTGGTGCTGGGGCAGCGAGCAAGCGGTGCCATCTGGGACTAAACCACAACACCCCCCCCATGCCATGAGCCTCTGCCTCCTGCTTGCCAACCAACATTACACACAAATTGATGCTGAAAACAGGGGAAGACAACCCCAAGCAGCAGTCCCAGCAGCTTTGTATACAGGTTGCCCACCACAGGAACCATCTCCCTCCCACTCACCTGGGCCTCGTCAACCTTGGGATGGGTGTGCAGAAACTGCTCAAGCTCTGCTGGGTAGATGTTCTCTCCTCCACGAATAATCATGTCCTTGCATCGGCCTATGATCCTGCAGTAGCCGTGCTCATCCAGGCTCGCAAGGTCCCTGTAACAACACCACACCTAGTCCTGGCCTAACTAAGGGGAGGAATGGCTGATGCTCCCATCCAGCCTCATCTGGAGGCTGAGATGCCCCCTGAATACATGGAAGGGATCAAAGAGCTCCTGCTATTGCCATCAGCACTGTCCACACAGATAGCAGGGCTTGGGGGAAGGCAGTTGCTGTCCCTGCTGTGTACCCCACAGCCCCTCCATCCTTCCAGTAGCCAAGTGATGATTCCCTTCTCCAGGTGCACTTGACACAGGGGGCTCTGTGCTAAGAGCTGCTCTGAAGTTTCAGGGGCACCGAAATCACAGCCAAGGCACTTCTGTTCACATCCATCCCCATCCAGCATCACTCTGCAGTACAGACCAGCAGGAGCGGGGCTGTTTCCAGACTCACCCTGTCTTGTACCACTTCTCATCAGTGACCACTTCACTTGTCTTGGCAGGGTCACCCCAGTAGCCCAGCATCACGCAGTAGCCACGGATCTGAAGCTCCCCAGGAGTGTTCAGAGGCATGAACTGGCCTGTTTCGGGATCCTCAATTTTTGCCTGCAATGGAAGAGAAGGGCTCAGTAGATCTCCAAGCCGATTGTGATGGTGTGCCCCAGCACCAGACAAGGGAGGACACTGAGGTCTGCTGCAGGCAGAGGACCTGTAGCAGGCAGGGAGGGTCACTATCACCTCTGTGTGGGGTAAGATGCATCCCACCGTCTCGGTTTTCCTGGTGATGCTGTCATTGGGGAATCCCATGAAGGTGACGGGGCTGTTTTCCGTGGTCCCATAGGCAACCTGCAAACACAAGAGGAGAAACATGCCAAAGGGGACCACACATCCAGGCACGGGGGAGACAAAACTAGCAATGACCACATGGGAGAGCGGGGTGGGAAGGGGTTGTTCTCACAGTCACTCAGGTCACAAGCAAGCACGGCTCTCCTGGCCCATGGATGGACACTTTGGCTATCAGGTACTTTTGACACCCCAGTTACTTTTCCTGGAGGATCCCAGGGTTCACCATCCTCCTTTTAATCTATGTCTCTCCAAGCTCTGCCCCACTGACTCCCTACCAGACGCTGATTTGGCCTTGGTGCCCTTGCAGCCATCTACTCAGGGTGCTGAGTTCACCTCGCATCTTCTACAGCTCCAGGCACATCAGACATTGCTTTTGATCAGCTTTGGATCAGCAGTGGGCCCCTGTTGGACACGGCATGTCCCACAGCACGGCTGCTGGCTCCAGATGCTTCAGCACAGACCTCAGCTCCTGTAACCCTCACAAAGGCATCACGAGGCTGCACAACGCTCGGCGCAGCTGCATTTACAGACCAAAAGCCTCACAGCGGGACAAAAGCTGCTTGCTGCTAACCCTCCCTCAGTGCTAATCCCAGCAGCAGGCTCCCAGTCACCTCAGCTCGAGGTCACTGCTCCTTGGAGGAAAATTCCAGCTCTTTATGGCAGCAGGAGCCGGGCAGGAGGAGCTCTGGACAGCTCTGACCTGTACCTGCAGTGGATCTTTGCTGCAGGAGAATGGCTGGGACATGGGAAGCGTTTGCTCCTTTCTCCTCCTCATCTTCAGGCTGACACACGAGCAGCTCTGACCCACTGCATTGCAAACATCTTCCTACAGCTTTGGCACCCAGAGCTGGGTCCTGCCTTTAGAGCCAGTGCCCAGCTCCACCACTGGACGGTGATCACCAAACTCCAGCCATTGAGCCCAAAAGTTAACAAGGGGCTTTGCAAAGGACTGTGATGAGGCCTCCTGGACAAGCACACCTATAGCACGTGGTGCTTCCTGCCGCTTGGGGCTGCTGAAGGATCTCACCTGGGACACAGCCTAAGGGCTGATGCTCTTGGCTCGACCGCACCAGGGTCAGCGTGAATCCAAGCTGGAGATCCGCAGGAGCCTGCTCTTAGGAATCTGGAGGAGATCATCTCCAGGATGCTGCAGGGACCATCTGGTGCAAACTGCTCTGCTAGGAGCCTGGCAACCCACCGGGAGCGACTGTAAATAGGCTTCTCCTACCAGATGCAATGATAGCTTCCCAGCCGGGGTGGAAACCTACAGCGCCTAATGCTCAGACAGGATTTCTCTCCCACCCACTAATACGAGTCCTGTGGCTGGATCAAATGACTGACGAGACACGGATCCAAGATCCTAAACACTCATTAAGAATCCCAGCGCCTTTGTTGTTCTGTTTCACTCTGCTGGATGAATCGCAGCGCCCAGGATCCCAGCCAAGCCCTGACTCAACCCCTTCTGCCTCCCCGCGTCGCTCCAGCACTTTAATTGGATGCAGGAGCAGGCAGCTCCCTGGCAGGGTGATGCTGTGGTTCACCAGGCTCCTCCAGATGCCTGGCACCGCTCCGGGTACCCCAAGCACTGCCTGTCCGTGCCTTGGCCTGTGGCTTGTCCCCATAAACACCCTCACACCATCAGCAATGGGCTTCCCAGACAGCAACGTGGGTCTGAACCTCCAGCCTGATGCCCGATCGCTGCCTTCCCCTGCCCGCCTGCACCAGCATTGCTCTCTGCAGCCAAACACCAGGATGTTGCTCCTGAATTTCTCAGTATTTCTCCCTTGGGATAGTGTTTTCCCCAGCTGCATTCCTAAGATCAAGCCAGGGGCTGCAGCAAGCCCTCGCATGAATGCCGTGTCCTTCTCTATCCTCATTTGACACGTGGAGCATCCTCCAACAGCTCCATCGTCAGCAGGAGATGAAACAATGCTTCCACAAAACCCCATCTAGCAATTTAAGCTTGGAGATATCCACAAAGATTCCTATCTCTCAAGGCCCAAAGGGATACTTAGCATTATCTATCCACGCAGATTCATAGCTTCCAAGACCCAAAGGGACATTTAGCATCCTCTATCCACGCAGATTCATAGCTTTCAAGACCCAAAGGGACACTTAGCATCCTCTAGCCTTGTCATCTGGTATAATTTAGTCCAGAAAACCTCACCCAATCATTTCTGCATCGGCTCCATAATTTCCACTGGAGCTGTATCTGGTGTCAAAGCAAAGCTTTGCAGAGGCAGAGTCCAGCTCAGACCCTTGGCTCTGGGAGAAGCTACAAGAGTACAGAGTATAATTGACTGTAAAGCTTAGTTTATTGTGAGGACCACAAGTGACCCTCAGTGCCCAGCACGCGGATCAATCCTGCCTTTAGCAACAACGGCTCCAAAACAAACTGCTGCCTAACTCCTACCGACAGGAGAATCACTCTTTGTGCCTCCCGAGCCTCTGTCTAAACCAGGAATAAAAAGAACATCTTAGAAGTGTGTTTTTCAAAGCACATTTCACAAACATTTCCTGCTCGCGCTGTTTAAACACCGGCCACTGCGGAACAGGGAAAACAGCCTGGAGAAGGAAGCATCTAAAAAGGCAAAAGAAAGTGCAAACAATGAGACTCCAGTCTCCTCAGTAAGCAGTGGGGAGGCAGATTGAGCTGGTGGGGAGAGAGGGAACTGTGAGGATCCTGGCTTTTCCCCGGCCATGCCACTTATTGATTGCATTACTCGGACCACATCGCATCAGCGCTCTGCTCCTCGGTTCTCCCCAGTGTTCAATGGCAATAAAACACCCACCCGTGTTCAACTGCTGCTGAGAGGCTGTGATGAAAAGGCTGGTTTCAGTCCCACCAGTGGGGTTATACTGGGTGAGACTGGAGCAGAAGGGCAGAGCTGCAGGGGGTACTTAGAGGAAACCCCCTGCCCCGGGCCTGAATGATGCTCAGAGAAGCTCTTCATGGCCCTTGTCACCACCCTTTGGTTATGCCACGCTGGAGGATGATGGCAGGGCTGGAACCACCAAACTAAACCCTACAGAAACTGAGCTTTGCTGAAGACAATGTTGGCTTTGGAAAAAAGCAGCAAATTGACCATGAAATAATAGGGATTTTAAGACTTCAGAGAGGGCATAATGAGCAACAGAAAGCAGACTGGCAACCCAAGAGGTGTGCTAAGAGACCTCTAAGAGGCCTTTTGGACCTCTCTCAGCGTAACATGCCCAATGGATCTCATTATCCCTAAACCCATGCTGAGCATGTTGTCTATCTTGGGTACCTCCATCAGTTAAACCCAGCCTATCCCTTCACAGCCAGCTCCAAATCATCCTCAACCAAGCATCTTCCCTCACTACCAAGATCACCCTGAACTTCACTGTCCTTTAGGGACGTGTGTCCCTTTGCTTTGGAGCTCTCCCACTATCCTAAATTGTATTGGAATATTCCAAGTCAACTTTAGCACTGCAAAAAACAACTCCTGACCATGTCCAGCCTATGTCACAGCGAGGTTTAATCTCCTTCCCCAGCAACAGTACCAGCTTTGTGTCAAAAAGGACACAAACAAGCAGGTCTTGTAGGACAAACCAAGCGTGGCCACCCTGCTGGCGTTTCTCCCCACCCAGGCTGATCCCAAACAGTCCCAGTTTGGATGGGGCTTAAAAAGCTCCCATAAATATCAGGTGCCCAAAGCACCGTCTTTGTGCTGTAGCACGCAATGGCTTTGCCTCGGGAGGAGACCACTGCAAAAATGGGCAACCCAGAAGGCGGCTGCTGCTGCAGATTAACCTCCTGCTATGGTGCAGTCAGGACAAGCTGCTCCTCGTGGTTTGGAGTTAAAGCTGCCTCTCTTCTATCCAGGCTGAGCTGAAGTCTTAAGGCTTGCAAGTATTTTCCCAGCCCTGCCAGCATTACAGAAGCAAGCAGCAAAGGCATGTGAAGTTACTTACTGGCTTATCCACAGCTTGGTTAAAGGTCCTTGCTGTGTAATTAACTCCATCCTCCCTGGCGCTGGGTGCCAAGGCAATTAGGAACAGTGGAATTGAAAGGAAAAAGGGAGAGGAGATGTGTCTTGTAGAAAACCACTGGGGGTACCTGAATGCTCAATGCTGCTGGGGAAGGAAAGTTGGAAAAAACCTAGGGGCAAAGGTAACATCCCTATGGCTTTGGAGAGCTCAGCTCCCACTGAAGACATGGTTAGAAGTCCAGGATCTATTTGCTTTCATGCTGCATTGTAAATGTTCTCACGGCACATCCCTATAGTTTCTGAAACCACCTCCTTGACAGGTCCTCTCCAGAAATGGGATAGGATGGGGAGGCCTCACTTTGGCCAAGGCAATCACCACGTGGAGTCAATTTTCCGTCTTGACAACAGAGGGGGCTCATTACTGGGGAGCATTTGGGAAAGACCCTGGTCTTGCATGCATCTGATGTGTTCTGCAAGTGAAGAAAGCCACTTCTTCGTCAGAGCCTGCAAGGACAATGGGCTGCTGGGGGATGCCCAGTGCCTTGCAAGGGTGGGGAGAGGCAGTAAGGGCAGGAGAGGCCACGAGCATCATGCCGCAGCTGCTGGGATCAGAAGGGAAGGGTGGACATCAACAAGGAGCCAAACTGGAAGCCTGTCAATGGGTGGAGGCCATGCTACAATGGAAGAAAACCATCAGAGGGAATGGCTGCACCCACCATCACCTCTTCCAGCTCAACAAGCAGCTTGGCCCCCTTATCACAAAGAGCAGCATCCTTCAACATGTCAAATAGAAAGGGTAACTCATGTTGAGCTCAGAGCCTCACGTGCCATTGTCACTGAGGGGGACACAGCACATCACCCAAAACCAGGGATTACTCAGGTACTGCCTGGAAGAGGAGGAAGGACCTAGGACACCCTCTGGGGCTCCCCATTGCCCACCCACTGGGGCTCCTCAGACACTGCAACCCCCCAGGACACTGCAGAGATTGCACCTTCTCCCACCTAGTGCTGGGTCTTGTCAGGGGCTCAGCTCCACAAGGGATGATGCTGTGCAGGCTGCAAGTGGGGACGGCTTGTGCACCCCAGGCACCCCCAAAGCTCCAGCCAGCAGAAGGAGACCACTTCAAGAAGGTGATTGCTGATGAGCACTGTCAGGCAAAACCAGATCTGGAGCCCCTTAAAAGCTACAGGGTCAGGCTTAAGCGAGCAATGGAATATTTTAACATGGAGCTATCTTGATAGGCCAGAACCATTAATACTAACAAAAATAGAGATTAAACATGGAAAAGACCGTCCCTAGTGCCATATCAAAACAGCTCTGACCTGCAGCACCAAAGAAACACCCCATATCTATATTTATACTGTTTCCAAAGCTGTATTTATTTGCTTATCCCACAATGCCTCTGAGGAGGCGAGGAGGGAGCCCAGCATCTGCAGCTTACCCAGCACCAGCAATGTTTGCACAACTGTTAATCAATTAAGAAGGAGAGGATGGCAGGAGGATAATCCTGCCTCTTCTGCCGTGTCCCAGCAGCACCAGCCCCGGGGGACCAGTGGGGTAGGGGCTGGACCAGCCCCAGCTCACTGCGGCATCCCACTGCTGCGGAGGGAACACTGACACTGCTGCTATTGTCACCTCCAGACTGCCAGCCACCCACGAGCGGGACCCGGGAGAGCTTTTGAGGATCACTGGATGTTTGCTCGCCGGTCGAGGGCTGAGGAACCCGGTGTGGGAAGAACACAAGCAGCCGGGAGCCCAGGGAGAGGAGCCAGCCCAGGCAGATGCCAACCAGCTCCAGCCGCAGGAATGCGCTCACCAGGGCACAGCAGCCAAACAGCATGAGGGGAAAGAGGTTCCCTTTATCCAGCATTTGTGCCTGGAGAAATGGAGCTGAGAAGCAGACACCTTTGCCCTGGTAGCACTGCCCTGCTGCATCCCACCTGCTGCATCCCACCGTGCATCCACTGATCTCTGCTGCAGGCACTGGGGAGCCCTTAGGGACAGCTTCCACCTTGCACCAGCATCGTGGCATCTTCACAAGGAAGTTACAGGTCCTGCTTGTGTTCATAGCCACAGCACGGGCATCCCTGCAAGGACACAGTGTCCCTGTCCCCCAAAATCTTCAGTCTCAGACAGCAAAGAGATAAAGGTTGAGATAAAGGGAAATGTATCCTCAGAAGAAGAAAGAAAAGAAGGTGGTTTGGGCAGTTTAACCTCTGAAAAGGGTCTGGTTCCAGAAATACACATGGATGGGATGTATTTATGGCCCTCACCTTTTCTGCTCCAATCTGACTCTTCCTGCAGAAGCAGCAAGCTGTTAGGCTGGTATTTTTTGTAAGGAGATGGGAAAACCAAGCATCAGCCATCAGCTGCGCTCAGGGAAGGAGCATGGAAGGATACACGACCTAGCTTCAGCATCCAACAGAAACAGGCTGGGGTTTAAATCTCACCCATCAGCTGCTCTCACACAGAGCAACAGCTGGTATGTAACTGCAGGAACTGGCCATCAAATGATTACAAGACTGAAGGTGGTTGAACCTGCTCAAAGACTATCAATCAGTAAATGGAAGATGATGCTTTAGAGGTGAATTTTCTCTTTCTCCATCATTCACTCAGCTGAGCTTTATGAGCAGCACACACTTATGGGGCATCTCAGTCCTGATTGACCTGGAGAGGCAAAGGAGGAAAACACAGGGGATTCTTCTGTCTGCCTCCTCTTTCACTGGCTCAAAGGTCCTGGCGAAGACACTCAAAGAGCTACTCCAGAGGTTAAAGCATGCTATGACCATTGTGGTGCCCACTGAATCAGGCCTAAGCAAAGATACCACTGTTTTGGTCAAAGAGTTTTAAATCTTACAGTAGAAGTCTATCAGGAGGTCCCACTGAGCAGGAGCCTGGAGCTCCTATGGTCAGAGCATCCCTCTGGAGATAAGGCAGGAGAACAGTTGAGCATCATAGAATCAACCAGGTTGGAAAAGACCTTCAAGATCAAGTCCAACCTTTACCTCAGCACTGCCAAGGCCACCACTAACCCATGGCACTGAGGGCCTTGTCTACACGGTGTGTGAACACTCGGGCAGCCTGTTCCAACACCTGAGCACCATCACCGTGGTGCCGAGGCGAGTGGCGAGGCCACGGCTGCTCCACAGCAGGGCTGGCGAGCACTGGAAGCCTGACATGGAGCGGTTTGCACTGAGATCCCACATTACATCATCATTCCCTCCGCACCGCAGGCTCACCAGAGCCTACAGTCACACCCCAGACACCCTTTTTCTCCCCCAAACTGGTCATGCAATGAAAACAAGGTTCATACTGACAGCTGCTGAGCAGCGGCCGGGCTGGCAGGCAGCTTGCATAGCACCACAGGAGCACGCTCAGCGGTGCTGGCTGATTCCTCACAGCAACAATGGAAAAACCCAGGAATCTCGGTGAATAACCAGTCTGTGTCCTAAGTCAGCCCTTGGATTTCCTCCCTTTCTTGAGCCTGTCTCGCCTCTGCAAAAGCTCCGCTGGGGCTCTGCAGCCGGGCTCGGGAGCACAGCTCTCAACAAGCTCATAGTTATGTGCTGGGCCCTCGAGTGTGTGCTGCAGCCAGGACCTGGCTGGAAATCAGTTCAAAATGTTCCAGTTCCAAACCCCACCCCGCAACCCCTGGATCTCTCCCTTCACACTCACAGAAGCAGGCGCTGGGGCTTTTAACCACTTTGCTTTAGCCTTCTCCATTGGCATCCCTTGGGTTAACTCGCCTTTGCCATTGCTACCCTGAGAGAGAAGCCAGGGCAAACCCCACTCCCAGCTCCAGCTGTGATTTCCTTGCTCTGTCACCATCCCTTTACCAATGCTTACACTTATCCCTGTCCATAGCTTCATCCTGGGAGCCACAGGCATTGCCACCCACCGAACCTACACACAGCAGGGCATTATTGTCTAGCATTTCATATCCCATACCCCAACAGGCTCTTTCACTGCTCCATCCCTTGTTGGAAGGCAACAGCCGCTGCCCCACAGTGCCACGTGCTGAGATAAACCCCCTCACACAGTCTCCTGACCATGACCATCCATGTGTCACACTCAACTGCTCATAGGAAAAGATGCAGCAGAAATGAAGACCTGTCTTTGTTCTCCCTTTCTTGGCCAACTCCTAGGTGCAGCCTGGATCTGCAGGTCTTCAACCTTGAACTTGCAAGAGCAACTACAGCAGTGCTGGCCTCTGGCATGACCCTGTATCGCTCCCATCATTTCCCATCCCTTCTCAGGCAAATTCCTTGGAGATCAGCAAGATGAGATCCCCAAAACACCTTCCTCTGTGATAACAGAACACGATGCTTCTCCCCAAGCCAGCTGAGCCTAAATACATCCCAGGAGCTTCAGCACGAGGTGCCTGTGGAGCACAGCAGTGCTCCCTGCTACGCTGTTCAACCAAAATAGGTTGTTTCCCCCACAGCTGATAAACCTGGGCCCCGCTCAGCTCAGCAGGGACCAAAGGGGTTCTCCACAGAGCAGGTCTCTGCTTGTTCTCCCCGTTGCAGAGAGGAAAACTACCTCAGCTCAGTCTCTTCAGCAGCAGGGCCTGGCAGGACCATGGATACTGCTCTCCCTGGTGCCAAGGGGTTAAGCTCACAGTAAGTTCCCAAACCCAGTTGCTTCCAACTGGCTGCTGCCTGCGGTTTGTGGGAAGGGATTTTGCTTTTTAATAACATTATAAATAGGGCTGTGTTCAGCATGCTGCAAACACAGTTCCTCTCTTCTCTCCCACCCATCTCCCTCCTTCTCCTCCTCCTGCTTCTCTCCCCACCACACCAGTTCCACATCTGACCATGTACCGGCCGGGCTTCTTCCTCAGTGTCCTCCTGGCGTGTCTCGCCTCCGTCGTGCAGGCATGTCCCCCCAGCTGCCACTGCCACGGTGGGGACCTGCAGCACGTCATCTGCGACAACGCGGGGCTGAAGAAGATCCCCAAGGTGCCCGAGCAAACGCGGCTCCTCAACCTGCAGAAGAACAACTTCCCCGTCCTGCCCACCAACGGCTTCCGTGACATGAAGAAGCTGGTGTCCCTGCACCTCCAGGGCTCACGGATCAAGGAGATCTCAACCGGAGCCTTCCGGGGGCTCAAGAGCCTGGTCTACCTCTACCTCACTGACAACCAGATCAGTGTCATTAAGCCAGGAGCCTTCGATGACCTCTCCGAGCTCACCTACCTGTACCTGGACCAGAACAAGATCCCAGACCTACCCAAAGGGGTCCTCTCCCCTCTTGTCAACCTCTTCATCCTGCACTTAGGCAGCAATAAGATCCAGGAGCTGAAACCAGGGGTCTTCAGTGGGGCTAAAGACCTGCGCTGGCTCTACCTCTCTGACAACTCCCTCACCAACCTCCTACCTGGGGCCCTGGAGGACGTGGAAAACCTCGCTGTTCTCCACCTGGACAAGAACCAGCTGAGCAGCTACCCTGTGAATGCAATGAGTAAGCTGAGAGTGCTGGAGGAACTGAAGCTTTCTCATAACCCAATTGAGGTCATCCCTGACAATGCCTTCCAGTCCTTCGGGCGATACCTGCAGACGCTCCACCTGGACAACATGAAACTGAAGAAGGTGAGTCCTTTCTCTTCCGTTTGCTCCGGATAAGAAACATGGGGCTTGATTTGCTTCTCCTTCACAAAGCCCTCTGTTTGCTGTCCCTCCCTTGCAGAGGAGAGGGGAGATGCAGGTCTGCAGGCTCTGCAGACATCAAGGCATTGGCCAGCCAACAGCAGCTCAAGTGAGGGATGAGAGCACTCCACCCTTCTGTTGAGTTATTTTATGCAAACCCAAATCATCTGGTGTTGTTCAAACTCCCTGGAAAGGCAGCACATTCCCTCCCAAGCTGGAGGTGACACCAGACACTGACAAAGGCATTTGGGATGCTCCAGGACAAATAGTAACCTTCCATCATGCCAGACACAAGGTGTGGGATGAGAGGCGGGTGTCTACCTCCTGACTCAAGGGATTGAGGAGCACTGCCACCTTGCAGAGCTCAGCTGCTCTGCCTCCTTCCTTCAGCCTGGGTACCTGTTGGAGGTTGGGAGGGGAGAGGGGCTATGAACAGCAGTGATTTCTCACCCATGCCTTGCAGATAGGTAGGCATAAGGACCTTCACCTCCCCCTGTGCCTCCTAACTTTACACGTTACAAAGAAAGGTTTGTTTATTGATGCTGTCTCAAAAGGAACTCATGCAGCATCTTACAAAGGGGCCCTGTTCCCACTGGAGAGGAGGAGGAGGAAGGACATTCAAGTATCCCAAATGGCAAAACAACCCCCTTCCTTTTCTATGAGAAAAGGCAGCAGCATCACACTCAGGGAATCACTTGCATTTGGACCTCTGAAATACCAGAACAGAAATAAGCACAGTGCAAGAGCAGCAGTATCCTGACGTCCTAGGTGCACCCCACATAGCTGGAAAGAGAGGGGACTGCACGTGAGCAGAACAGTTCTCCCTGGGATGATGCTTTGCCAGGAAGCCCATAGATAAAGGGAATCCAGGTGAGGACTTCACAGCTGAGCAATACCCACCACATGCAGGAAGATGCGATGAAAAAGAGAATTTCTTAGCAACAAAGAGCAACTCATAGAGCCTCATAGGGATGAAAACACCTGAAAGCTACCAGGAACAGAGAACACCAGAGTTTTCAAGGGGATATAGCACCCAAAATGCTCAAAAACTGGATTAGAGCATGTCCAGGTGGAGAGCAACACTACCCGTAACAGCTCAGTAGCACTCGGTCAGTATTTAAGCCCTTGTCCACTCTCAGCACTAACATCTCCAGGATGAGAATAAGCAAACTCAACACTGAAAAGAACCCAGTGACCTCTAGGCAAGCCCTCAGACATGCTGTCACAGCACTTCTGTAGACTTGGGTTTAATGCAGTTTCATCATGCACAAGTCACAAATCACAGGTTAAATGATGTACCAGCTGTAGAGACATCAGTGTCCCAGGTTACACGTTAGACTAACTCATGATGCTGGGGTGCTGCAGGGAATTAAATGTCCTTGGATTGGCCAGAAAGCAAGGCCAGTGCCAGTCAGCAAAGCCCACTTTCTTCTGTTCAGTGAGCCCCTGTGGACAGGACCTTTAAAGGTTCTTCTGCAGCCAGATGTCTCCTTTCCTCCCCAACAGCCCAATAGGACACCAGTCCAGGGGATCAGCACTGCAGCTTTAGGACTCACATTCCTTGTTAGGAACACAGCTCAGAGCTTTCTCTTCAAATCCTCAAAGGTCTCATATCCAAACAGCCCACGCATGAGCTGTGCACTGCTAGGAGACATCTCATCACAGAGGTCTCACGACCTAGGAAATCACCACCAAATACTTCAAGTGCCGCTGGCATCTTGACTGCAGCTCTTCCTCGTACACAAAAACACTGTCCTCAGCTGTCCCCTGCAAGAGTTTTAGCTGATTAACTGCAGAACCCTTCCACTCAAAGCTATCCCAGCCTATATTACATCGAGCAGAACGAGGAGAGCCCTCAGGCTACTCCGCAGCTCCAGCATGGGGCTCCCAAAGCGATCCACCAGCATAATGGACCCCCATCGGTCACGGGCCAGGACCCACCACGTACATCAACATGAAGCCAGGCAATGGAAACTTTACATACACCCTTCTCTGTGTATTTATTGCCAAATAACTTAGAGCAGCAATCACTCCTCCACCTAAATAAGGGAAGAAATAACCCATTTCTTCACAAACGCGTGCTCTGGCAGGCAGCGCAGCGCCTGTAACCAGCAGATGTGAGCTCTCCTCATGGGGCTGGGAGAGGAATGAGCAGCTGAGACAGTACACCACTGTCCAAGGCAGAACACGGCCAGGCTGCTGCCCCACTGCACAGCATGCCAGCATCTCTGAGCAGCTCCACTATCAGCCCAGTGAAACCTACCGAGGTCAGCACAGTGCTGGACCACAGGGGCCAGCCCCGCTGACTGTTCAACAGCTCCGGGAGCCTCTTAGCTAAGCTCTAATCCTATCCAGCATTGCTTAATTTGGAAGATGACACAAGTTCACAGCTTAAAATAGCGGGTTTTCCCTGTCAGGCTTTTTAGCTTAGAGAGCTTGAACACACCCGGATGGTGCCATCCGAAGTGCAAGGTTCTGGTCAGCAATGGGAGCAGAGGTCCTTGACTGGGGGGTTCTGGTAGACATAGTGAGCCTCCTCCTCACCCTTTAGAGAAATCTTTTCCCCCCAGCTTTGGGAAGGGGGAGAAAAGCTGTCATAGCCAGGAGGAGCTTTGTGCTTTGTCAATTACCCCCCTCCAAAGCATGGCCACCGAAGAAGTTTGTGTTGAAGGAGTGGATTTCAAGAAGAAACTTTCCAACCTGAGTAACCATGGGGTGAAAAAAGCCAGGATGAGGCCTCAGGGAAGATTGGAGCCAGGTCTGCAGCCTCTCTCTTCTCTTGGGCAGCTTTTTTAAGGGAGACTCTCCCTTAAAGCCTTCCCATTAATCAAGAAAAGATAAATCCTGCAGCATCCCCTGCAAACAACTCATTGGAGATGAGGAAAAACAGAGGAGTTTGAGGTGCTGGAAACCCGCCTCTATTCCTGCACTGCTCAGATGCCAAGTGTAACTTTCCACTCGGAGCCCCCGGGCACTGCCAAAGTCTACAGCCCCTTCAGGCGCCACAAACACTCCTTCCTTCAGCCATTCCAGGCACTGGGAGGCTTTCCAGCCTTGGAAAGGAATACACCCAGAAAATATCTTCATTTAGAACGGAAAAGTATGGCTCAAAAATAGAGAAGGCTGCCAGACTTCTCTTTATTTAGGGATGTAGCACAAAGTCAATCCCACATGGATTTGGGACGGAGCTTTCTGCAGGCAGGGAACTCCATCACCCATGAGCCCACTAGCTTGATGCTTCTGTTAGGTGTCCAAAGCTTCCAGCGAGCCAGGACACCATCCCACTGCTCCTTCCATGCTTATACCACTAAGTCTTGAACAGAGACACTCAGGTTTGAATTCCCCCTTCTCTAACTCAACGTTCCTCCTGGGAAACCCCTGTGCTTCAGTTTGCAGACAACGCATTCGCCGGCGTGACGGTGCTGAAGACGGCTCACGTGGAGAACAACCGGCTCACCCAGCTGCCCCGCAACTTCCCCTTCGACAAGCTGGAGACGCTGACGCTGTCCCGCAACGCCTGGCACTGCAACTGCCAGCTCGCACATCTGCGCAAGTACGGCACCACGCATCCCTTCCCTGGGTCTCCCCGAGCACCCTCACAAGAGGGGGGATGCTAAAGGATGCATCCGTCCTCAGCAGCTCGCTCCCCCGTCCTCCCCTTGCCACTTACGGTGGTTTGTGGCTCTCATAAGCTCTTGGTCTTCTTCCTCCCCATGTCCCAGGTGGCTGAAGGGCAATCGCACCCGCACTGAGGATACCTGCTCTACACCTGCACAGTACCGGGGACAGTCCATCAGAGACACCCCGGCTCTCCGCACCTGCAAGCTCCCCACCAAGAGGTCCAAGAAGGGAAGCCGCCATTAAACACGTAAGATGGTTCACTTTTGGTCAGATCTACCAAACCTTGGTAGGGTTCTATCACTGATTTCTGAGTTTAATAACACCAGGGTTTGGCTCAGAGCAGCTCATCCATTCACCCATGGATACCAATGCTCAGGGCTGCTCCATCTCCTGGCAGTATTGGGCTCCATGAGCTCCCCAGGACAGAGAATCTGCCTGGAGCATTAGGGATGGAGTCAACCCTGCAAAACAAACATGGGGATAAAGACAGGCCCGGGGCAGCAAGTAAGGGTGAAATGTGTAATTAAGTGTCAAAACTGGGTGTTTAGCCCACTCTTTCTCTGAGCTGGGATCACAGATGCTTTTGTAACTGATTGGAGATGCTCAGCCTTTTGCCCTAGTAAAGGTCCTCTGGAATCCAGGGCAGGACATTGCTGCGAGATCTGGCCCCAGGCTGTCCAGCCCATGTGAAAATAGATGTCTTCCATAAGGAGCAGTTCTCGCTCCAGCACCTGCCTTTCAGCAACTACAATTCCCATCCCAGACACTCATGTATTTAAAACCAAGGGCAGATGCCTTCAAATGAGTGTCTCGGAAGAAGGAGGTTCGAGACAGCAAATACTCTTTGAATAGAGTGTTCTGGGCCAGGAAGTGATTCAGAGACAGGGCTGACTTTCCTTTGAGCAATGAGCTTGCTGACATAAAAACACCAACTGTGAGAACCTATCACACAAACACCTTCCACAACTGGATGCTATCAAGAGTATTGAAAACTCAGCACACAGAGTAGCTAAAAAGCCACAACTGTCATCACTCCATCCCAAGTACTTCACTTTTCCCCATCCCAGGAACACATCTGGAGACTGTACGGATTCCAAAGGACTCTGGATGAGCCTGAAAGTTTATAAGCTCTTGGGAAAGGGAGCTTTGCTCATCTGTTAAGTGGAGTGCAGTGACTCTGCACTGCACAAACAAGGTTTGTCACTGTACCCTATGGTAACAGAAGGGACAAGGCAGAAGCCTGAAACCCAGTTTGGTCCCCACTTCGCTAAGGATATGCATAACAGGATGGAGAAAGTAAATTTATGACCAGACTGTCAGGGATGATGCCAGCCTTCCCAAAGTGGTTATTTCTCTGGCAGCGCCAGAGGTTTTATGGATTGGAGATGGAAATACCAGTCATTCCATATGGGGTGGATAAAGTTCCGCTCTGAGGATGGAAGAACTTCAGTTTTCTAAACCACAATACTCAAATGTATTTTATTTACAGGTCTGCCCCTTCTTAACCTTCTTTCTCCCTGCCTAAACTCAATTCCAGTTCACACCTTCATGATGAAAGTAAAAAACACAGGGCAATTATACCTGGTTTTATTATAGCACCTTCTATCCAGCTCTCTCAAACCCTCAAACAGGTTTACAGGCGTTAATGAAAGGAAACTACTTGTTCCAGGCTTGCAGAAGACAGAGCTTGGTACCTTTGGGTGTCAGTGCCAAAATACAGATACAGAAACCTACTCAGTGTGGCGAGCATGATTCTAAGGAATACGAAGTATCTTTGACTTCACCATGTACCTCTTGAGAGCCAGGCAGCTTTCTCAAGTGTCAGCTATGGGGATCTGTGTTCATGGCCGATGACTTGTGTCATTGACCATGTTTCAGATGCACAGCTGCTTGGCAGTTCCTCAAATCTCCTGCCCTGGACAGTCTGAACCAATTGCACCAAAGCAATTCCCTGTTCTTGAAAACCTCACCCTTGGGTTTCTTCCTTTACAAAGGAAGTGCTCATTGACCATCGCTGCTTTGGGTAAGGTACTCAAGAGTTGTGTATTGATTTAGCAGAAGAGGTCAGAGATGGCACTAAGCCATCTCCTCTGTAGGAACTCACAATGGCTCCTTGACTCCTAACACTTCACTTTCAAGTATGGGCTCCACTCACTCACTATAAAAGCAAACAGACAAGTTTACTGATTGCTTGGAAAATGCCCTTAAACATGTGGCCTTCTCTCTTCTTTCCCCCTAGCAGGCCCCGGTATGGCCTGTCCTGGTGACCGGCCACTTCAACCATCAGAAAACTACTGACTTCTGAGTCCTTCCTTTAAGCTTCTCCCACCTATCAGGAAACACTTCTGATATATCCACACACCTCCAGCCTCCTCCGAATCCCCGCTTCTCTGCTCATCGCAGGATGGAATCCACCTTTTCAATCTTTTCCGACATCTATATATTTTAAAAGAGGCATTTTTATGCATGACCATACTAAGACAAAGCTAACTTAGATCCTGCCGGTAAAACACAGTCATCTTTCCCAGAGGCAACATAACCCGCATCCCCAGTCAAACAGTTGGTTGCTGTCTCTCCCTTTCCAGTGCAGTGGAAGCAAGAGGGAAGGTTGGAGCATCCTTCCCCACCTGCTTGACCAGGAAAATTGGTCTCAACCCATACAAAGCAACTCCTCTGCCTTCCCACGGAGGGGATCCCTGCAGGCCAGGGCTGAGGGGGATAGGTGAAGCAATGACCAAGAACCGATGGCGTTGAGACCGAGCTGCCCTTTCGTGCCAAAGGGCAGCAATCTCTTTAGGTTGGCCAGAAATCCTTTAAGCAAAGCAGCACTGGAAAACCCCAAAAGTGGAGCTATGTGAAGACTGGATTCCCTCCCACTCTGTGGGGTCTACCAGGACACACGTACATCCAAGAGGAGAAGGTGTGCACTGCGCAGCCTGGCTTGGGCACCCCTCCTCTTCTCCTGACCCATACCCCAGAGGATCTAGCAGGACACCAGGATGACTGTGGTTTATTGTCAAGGCTATTACAATACCACAGTTGCAACCTAACTGTGTTTTTTAATCTGAAAGAGTTATATAAATATATGTATATTTATTCCTCTGTAATTGAGTGTAAATGACCTTTAAGGGGATGTCCTCCTCTGTCTCCTATGTAGAAATTAAATTGTATATTTTCTTATGTACATCTTCTGTATAAAGCTCTTGCTGCAAAGATGAATTCAACAAGTCTCCCTGTGTCTGTCTGAGGGCTGGAGGATGAGAAGTATCATGAGACCAGTGATACAAATATAGACTTAATCCTCTTTATCCTATGGGCAGAGCAACTGGTTGGGAGGGTTTTAATATTTCTCTCTTGACAAAACAGGAACATGTGGCAGCCAATGAGTCCTGGGCACTTGCAGTAATGGCTGAAAGTATTTTGTGAGGCTAAATTCAAGCCTATTATAAAAATAGGTGGCTGGCATCTGACAGAGTCTGACAACAGCACCAGGGCTGTCCTGGTGTTTTCAGCTCAGCATTAAAAGCATCCGAGATGGCTCCAAGATGGATGCCCTGAGCTCCCCTAGTCCATGGCAGAGCATATGGGCATCCCTGGAAAACCCTGGTGCTGGTGTGGTCCAGGTCTGCCAACAATAACACACCTAAATCTGACTCTCAGCCCCATGCGCGTTTACCCATCACAACAGTCTGCTCCCGCAGCATTTGAAAGCAGCACATTATTGCCTTTAAAGTGGAACAAGAAAGTCCTTTTTTTGTCTCAGCCATTCACTCACACACGTGCAGATGGCGGAGCCTGCCTATGAAACATGGCATCTGGAGTGGCACTGACCCCCTCCATATGCAGGACCTGCTGATGCTCTTGCACAGGCCAAGGGTGCAGGGGCATGTGAGGGAGCAGCAGCACATGTGGTCCAGCATGTGCTGTCCTTCTGGCAACGCAATGCCTGGTGTTGCATGCGTGGATGGCACCCTCCCCACAGCCAAACACATAGTATGCAACATGGTTTTCTATCTGCATGCAGTCCAGGATGGTGTAAGAAACCCAACAGCTCCACAGCAAGATGAACACATGCGCCCACCCACACCAATACAAACCAGCAACGCCTCTTCCATGATCATTCATCCTTGCAGCATGTACAACAGAAGGGTTTATGAAAGCTTTGAAACACACCAGCAGCTTGGTTTGTAACTCTCAATGCAGTGTCTTCTCTTACAAAGCTTCCTCCCCAGACACCCCACCAGCAACAAGACAGGACCCCCCTTCTTCCTCCCAGCACCTTTGCTCCTCAGCCTGGCCTCTCACCCATGGTCCCATCACACCCAGCACTGCTGGGTACCACTGCGGTGCAGAGATGCCCAAGCTCAGGGTCTCACTAGGACGATCACTACTCATATCTCCAATCACAGCAACCACAACTCACCAACATCTCCGCCATGTGCATCTTGGTCATAGCCATCTTCATGACCTCAGGGGGAACAGGAGAACCTGCAATAACTCCTGGAAGAAAGAGGAACAGATGACTGCCTTGGAAACCATCTATTTATTCCCAAGAGTGGTCCCTCAAAGATTCTGCATTCCCAGATTTAAATGCTGGTGAGACCTTTGGGATACACTGGTTCCTGTCAAAATATTTTCTGCTTTTATGGATAGAGGTTGTAGTTATTCTAGAAGCAAGGGCTGCAGGAAGGCCAGTTTGTCTGAAGGAATTAAGGGTTGGCAGAGATCACTCATTAGGAAAATAAACTCCACAGCACAAACCTCATCCAAGCTGCAGTTTCTAAAAAGGGAAGATTGAGAGCAGAAAGAGGCACAGATTTTTAGCAGGACAAACAGGCCCATCGATCAGCACCACCATAAAACCAAAACCCTTTCCTCCTGCTTTGCACAAGGCAGCCCTTTTGGGAAAGGGCAGATCTCATCTTCACTTGTTCTGTCGTAGGAAGGCAGAGCAAAAGAGTGGGGTAATACATAGGCTTTGCTGGGAACAAGATGAGACGGGGCGATTTCCCACATAGAGGTGATTGGGTAATCTGCTGAAACGTTTGTCTGTTCCAGCACCACCTTCTCTCAGTGCTGTCATTGCATCAAAAGGGCTGATGGCCTCCTCGTTTCAGCTCAGCTGTTTCCAAGGCTGCCTGTGACAAGACAGAAAGCTCCAGCACACGTTGTCACACCCTCTCCAGTATTTAGGTGAAGGCAGGAAACTTTAGGCCAGAGAAATCAGCGTAGCTCTGCTTCAGGGATTGCACCAGCCTAAAGCATCTGCTGCCACATGGTGGTGGCTGGTGAGACAGGAGCTGAGCAAACAGGCTATTCCTGACACCCTCCCTTGCAGATGAAACAGGAAAGTACTTTCCTCGACTGCTTAAGATGAGAGAAGAATCCTAAAAATACATATATTTTGAAGGAAATCCCAAGGAAAGGAAACGCAGCATCAAATCCACAGTGAACCACGAAGTTTGCACAGCTAAATTCTTCCCTTCTAGAAGAGCCAGCTGCTTGCAAAGCTTACTACAGCCTCCCAGCAGGGAACAGCAGGAACAGTAATATCCCTTTTCTCAGGATTTTTCCATTTGAGTTCCAAGCCTTACCTCCCCGGAGACTTGACAGGTCATAGGAGTCAAAGTCCGGCTGGGAGAGCATGTCTATGAACATGGTTGGTGTGCCATACAGAAAGGAGCATCTTGAGGAAGGGGAGAGAAATGGTGAAGTTGGAACCATCCCATCCTGCCCCATCCCATCAGAACAGCAGCACAGAGGCAGGCACAAGCAGATGCGCTCTTCATCAATGCACATTGGTACATTGCTATGTACCAATACAGGTACATAGCAATAGGTATGAGTGGATCATGCAGACGCAATGATAGCTCTTGTTTTATGAGCTACACATGCAGAACAAAGCTGGAAATGCATCTCAGCCGCGGTGAGATGTGAACACACACCAGCCACAGCAAACCTAGCACCACTGCAAGGTGATAAACCCTGTGGCAAAACACAAGCTCTTACTTCTCTCGAGACACAGCCTCCAGCGCAGCCTTCCCCTCGAAGCTGGGCGATGAGAAGATGCAGGAGGACCCGTGCAGAGCCATCACCATGCAGCCTCCTACCGATGACAGGCAGTGATAGAGGGGTGCAGGCAGGGCAACGCGGTAGTCCTGGTATTGAGCCAAGCACAACAGTGAGGAGAGGAGATCTCCCACAGCTGGTTCCCAGCCCATCTCCCTGCTGAAGAGCTACGGTCTAAACAGACTATTCCATGATTCATTGAAAACTTGCTGGAAATGAGACATTCATCTGTGTTTCCACGAGTTGGAAACGTGATGCTGGTCATTCCTGCCTTTAATAACAATCAACTTGGAAGCTTTTAATGTCAAAATTGCAATGGCAATCAAAATGGCAATTTTAATGTCAAAAAATGCAAAGGCATTTTGCAATGCCTTTTTTTTTGCTGGACTTTTTGGCCTGGTATCACTTACACATGACTTTATGCTATGCCAGAGGGGTGGTAGTACTACGACAGGCATGAAGTGCGCGGGACTTGGCACATGCTGTTGATTTTGTTTTTAAAAGCACCAAAGGCTCTGAAGATTGATGGAAACAACCCAGTATTTTCCTGCATCAAAGCAGCTGTGTTAGAAATAACTACTTCAAAAGAAAATATTTGCCTTTAATAGTATTGAATCTAAACTACAAATAGAAAGGTCACATCCTGATGAGAGTTACAAGACTCTTACGAGTCTCATGTATGCATGACATGAAATGAAGTCGTATAAAGCAGATTAAAACGTTATTCAACAGAATTCAAAGCTAACATCCAGAGTGTTGTAATTATCTGAAATGAGCATTCACCAAGATAAAAAGTAGTTAATTTCACATTTTTTCCCCCCAAAAAGGCATCTTTTTCCTGCCCCCCAAAACCCTTCACATGAAACTGAAAAGAAACATCACTGAAACTCCATTGAAATGACAAATGTTATGGATGAGTATCCCTCAATGCCACTCGCAACTGGGTGATCACCAATGCTCTCCACACCCATGGTTTCTCTGTGGCCATGGAGACGACCCCAAAGTGTGTTTCTATAAGACCCACCTGCTCTGTGAACCCCAGCCTCAGCCCGATCAGATGGGCGTTATTCACAATGTTCCTGTGGGATAGGGTGGCTCCTTTGGGGCTTCCCGTGGTCCCCTGAAAGACACAGGGCATTATGCAGTGATGAGCTACGAGTGTTCTGGGGCAATCTCACTCTTCATTCTCCATTCATACCTGGGAGACTTATTCTCCCCTTTAACAGCATCTGAATCCGAAAACACACACACACACACACACACACACACACACAAAACAGCCCAACTTCAATTGGACAGACCTCCCGTGACACCCTCTCATCTACATCAACCCTTGACAAAGAGCTGAGCAGCAAGATTGGAAGGAGGGTAAATGTTAGAACACCTCCTTCATCCTACAGCAGAAGATGGAACCAGGGTTTGATCTCGGAGAGCAGAAGGAAAAATGAATGGGACGCTCAGCATCCCACACATCTTTCCCTGTGTCCCCCAACCACCAGGAAGGCAAGAGCACCTACTGAAGTGAACTGGATGTTGATGGGCTCATTGCAGGAGAGTGTTTGCTGCACGGCTCTCAACTGTTTCATATGGCTGCTGTCCCCTGCCTGCATCACCTCATCCATGTGAAAGGTGCCTGGCAGCTTGGAGTCCAACACGATGACAATGTTTAAGTTGGGTAGCCTGGCAGGAAGAAAAATACCATTAACAATAGCAGAGCAAGGAGGAAACAGCATAGATGGGTATACATTGGTCAAGCCAAACCTCCAGGAGGGCCTAACTTGTTCTCTTCACATGAGGTCCTTCTTCCACCCAAGCCTGTGTTGTGCAGCTGAGACGACACAAGGCAGGACTGGCTGTGAGGTCAGTGCAAAGACATCAGATGTTCCTGACTCACCTTTTGCTCTTTATTCCCCCTGGGCTGGATGTTTCTATCTCAGGACATGACTGCTTTAAGATATCATAGTAGTTCTGTGTTTTAAATTGAGTGGGAAACACCAGTGCCTTACAGCCAACCTGTGAAGGGAGACAGAAACTCATGAGAAGTCACGTTGGGTTGATGTTCAGGCCATGATACAGAGCAGTCACCCCACACTGCAAACGTTAGCCATTACACCACACTGGGATCTTCTCCATGGCTTGTTGCTGCAAGCACATGGTAGAATCAGCAATCTCCAGGCTAAACCCAGAAGTTTTAAACTCTTCTTAGTAAGATCCATTGCATGCAGTGGCTTAAAGATTCATTGGAAAGCATAACATGGGTCTTTGCACAGTGAGGGTGCAGCAGCCATGGTCCCAGGGTTGGGGACATAGAATCAGAGAATAGTTAGGGGTGGAAAGGACTTTAAGATCATCCAGTTCCAACCCTCCCACAAGCAGGTTCACTGAGGGCAAATGCACTCATAAAAGCCCTCAAGCACAGGGCAGGGTGCTGTTACTGCACCCTGAGCATCCATGTAGGAGAGCAGAGCTGCAGCCCCAGGTTCCCTCTTCTCTCAGGACCAACACTCCTCATTGCAAGCACAAGGCAAACAACGTTGAGTTGTTGCCTCACATTAGGAGTCCCACCACTGACAAAAAGCCCAGTCCCAAAATATGGAGAGAAATCAGTTATTTGAGTTGATCTGAAATGAGGAATTTTGAGGAACTTTGGGAAAACAACAAAACCTAAAGACCAGCTTTTGGGTCAAGCCAAGGTCTTGGTGTGGGGTTTTAAAGATGTTCCATTTCCTAAGATTTTTGCACCTCATTTTAGAGCATTATTCCTTATTTTCTATAGTTTTATAATTAATCATTATTAATCAGCTGTTTTGAAAACTCAAACATTTGCCTTTCAAGCCTCTACATCTACACAACCCCGAAACAAAGCACTTTCATTACTCCAAGAATTCCTCCCTCTTTTTCTGCAGAGCTTTGCTGAATCTGACCCAGATTTGAAACCCGCTTTCATCTTCCAAATAAATGCATTCTTGTCAAATAAACCCTTCACATCAATTATTTACTCAGCTGGTTTCATTATTTTCCCAAGGTCCATGAAATAAGGAGAGCAAAGCTCCGGCAATAAATTATTGGTAAGCACCCTCTAGGGTTTGTCAGAAGGGAAGACAAACATTTGCTCTGTTTCCTGGAAGAGGCTGCCCAGGGGACTGAGGCTGTTCTGGGATGTTTTGGGCCTTTGGAAGTTTTACTGTTCCTGCAAAACTACTATTCTGGTCGAACTGGCTTTGCAAAAGAGATGTTACGTGAGGAGAGGAGCTTGCAGAGCAGATGCTCTGTGAGATAAGAGTCTCTAGTTGGGTTCCTCCTACTTGGTGTCAACCTGAATGGCAGCACCCATCTTCAAAGGACCTGTTGTATGAATCCTGTTATCAGTTTGCTTTCACAAACCATGGAAATGCAGCAGGAATAGCTATTCAGCATGTATTTATGTATATACCTAAGGGAGGGAACGTGATGGAGCAAGAGAAGCACTGCACAAGCTGTCAAGATCCAAGAGGCAAAGCCCTAAAGTCTTCAGGGTTTTTGTTGTGCAAATAAACAAATACAAATGATTAGGGAGTGAGGAACCTCAGAGATCCCAGTGCCAAAAACACATGGAAAAGCTGGGAACATTAGCAAACCTGGGAGGGTGAGACAGGAACGATCCCCAGTGGAGCTGAAACACGTTTCTACTCTTACCCCATCAATATCCCATCTTACCCCATCTCCTCCTCAACTGGAGGAGGAAATCAAAGCAGACTCTGACACAGAATGACGGAAAGGAAAACAAAAGCTAAGTCTCCTTGGGGAAAAAGGAAAGCACTGCCATGCACGTTTCCACCTGGTGAGACACACAGGAGGACATCCACCCTGGAAGAGATGTGCTTCACTGCAGCACTGCTTCCAATTCTAATGCACCAAAACAGGAGTGAGACCACCATAAGAGGATTAAATGAAGGAGAAATGGCAACTCAAATTGCAGCCCAGCAACCAAATTACAGTTATTGATGCAAAAGTCTCCCTCTGCTGCCAGAAATTGCCTATTTTCTAGGTTAAGCAAGAGCTTGGATAGTGCTGGGAAGACCCAGAAGTAATTCCCTCTCTTCTGGTATCAGCCTTTGATTTAAAGATGAACAAACCACAGATGAGCAAATTAGCTTAATTAATCCTGGGATTAATTTTTAGCTATCAAATGTTTAATAACCCAATTTCCTCATTACTGGAGCTAAGAAACCAGAACAGTTTAAACTGATCGATGCTCGGCACATTGCCAACTGAAACTCAGGCAAGTATACAAGGGTGGCTGAGGCAGCAGGGATCAGGCAGTCAGGAAAATGTCAATACCTAGGACTTAAACCAGGTTAAACCTAAAGCCTAGGACAAATGTGGGAAGGAGAAATCAAGCTTCCGAGTCAGTTTATCCTTTCTGAACCTTCCTCTTTCCAAGGTTAAAGTCCCAGATGGTGATGTTTGCCCAAAGCAGGAGGTAGGCAGGATGGCACCGAGCCAGGCAGATTTGAGTGTGGGAAAGTTGGAACTGATTTAGGACAGATGTTGCCTCCAGAGACTGCAGCCATGCTCTGTTACTGCTCAGTCTCTGCTGTCCTGGCTGCCAGCTTCTCCAGCAGTCTCTGGGTCACATACTTAGTCCCATTTTCCTCATTTCCTAGCAAGGGGCTGCTGGCAGGTAGGGCTGTATCAATAGATGTGATATTGGCAGGAAATGGCTGTTAGAGACAGAGATAAGGATGCAGAAGTCTCCCTCAGACAGACATGGGGAACAGCAATAAATGCAACCACTGAACAGCAGCTTCCTCCCCTTGGTCACTGCATGTTGTGTTCCCTCAACACGGCCACCACAGCCCTGCTCTCCAGCCAGCTCCCCTGTTATGCCCATATCTCAAGTAGAAGCTCCTCTATGCTGTGTCCCCACTATCCCCTTTAACAGATAGCTTCTTGCAGGAGTCCTCACAACAATTCAGTTCGCATTACCAGCGAGTGCCACACAAACCTTACTGATGACAAACTCCAGCTCAGGGGCCTGGTAGGCTGGATTCACAGATACCTGAAGAGGGAGGAAGAAGAAGGATGATCAGGGTTACCCTCGCCTTGAAAATCATCCCTCCTAACACGTATTCCAACAGAGAAGTTTGCCCAGGGACCAGCCACACTCAAAGCCTCTCCCCCACAGCACACTAAGAGCCCACCACCACAGGGGTTTCACAGTCACCAGAGAAACTGGCTTAATCCTGTGTTTGCAGGAAAGAAAATGAAAAAAGAGGCTTATGTGAGGTCACAAAACCAAGCCAGCTTCAGGAACAGAGGCCAAACCGCCTGTCTCACAGGCACACATCCAATCTACTAAACTGAGGACTCAAAACTCGAGTGCAAGTCAGGTTTCCTGATGGACAACCATGAAAATACCACCTTTATCTTGTCCAACTCCACAGAAGCCGTATTGGACACTGGAATTGAGTTCCCCATCAGGTTCATACTGAGCCACCCTGTTCCTGTGTCTTAGTAGACAATGGGATGAACCGCAGTGAAGAAACATGGACCAGAAGGGAGGGTGCCATCCTTATCCTTATCATTGTGCACTGTCTAAAGTGCATTTTGGTGAACGTCCCAGGTCATACTATCAAATGAAAACTGGCTTTTGGAGATATGCAGCTCATACTAGATTTTTAGGTGAGCTTTTGCATTTAGAATGGCTCTAAATAGCTGGTAACTGTTTCTGACAGCATCATGCTACATAAAAATGATCCTATAGGCAAAAGTATACATCTTTCTATCATCAGCTGCTGCAAGTTAGTTCACAGCAGTCTGTTTCTTGCTGCTCCTTCCTCTGCAGTCTGCTTTTCTACACAGTGGAGGGCAAAGATGCACAGATCTTGTTTAAACACTGGATTCAGTTATAGACAACATGATGTGTAAGAGCATGGAGAAGAGAGACAACAAACTTTGTTCTCCAGTATCTCCCATTGCATCTGTGTCTCCATTTTCTTGCCCTGCTAAAAACCAGACACAGCATCACTCCTTACCAGGATGATTCCTGCCTGGGCAGTCGCAAACTGCATGAGAACCCACTCGTACTTATTGGGACCCCACATCCCGAGCCGGTCTCCCTTCTTCAGGCCAAGAGCCAGAAGCCCAGCCGCTGCCTGGTCCACCTGCAAAACACAAGGCAAGAGCATGAGCATCACCCACAGGATGCAGTGAGGGAATGTTCATCTCCAGGCACCACTTTATGGGGGAAAAGCGTCATGTTTGCAACTGAAATCAGACAGAATATACCTCTGCTGCACTGTCAGCCTGCTGCATCTTCAGTGTCACAGAGCAGCTGCTGCTTAGCGGGTTGATAAAAAGCATAAACCCAAGTGTGGAACAATATAGCAAAGCAGAAAGGAAACCAAAACAGACAATTATGTACCAGTAGTTGCAAATTAATTCCTGCCCAAAGTGTATTTAGGGTCTAGCTCCTCATTGACTCAGCTTAGGACTAAGCTTTACCCATTTACACTGTTGGATCTGCCTCTGCTCCATCACATCACTTACTTCTAGAACTCAGGTGAAGAAAACTGCATCAAGTGATCTTTGGCCAGTTTCTGTCTGGGGTTGCTGTACTCATTAACTCCTCATCCAGCCACTATATTAACATAACTACTGCAAGATGGTGTGTTTTGGGTGTGCAGGTGCATGTATAAATATCCTGAAGGATTCAGGAAAGTTTTTGGTACGGTATGTTCTCAAATGAACTTATGAAGTTCGGAGACATGAAAGTGAGGAATAGCTGTTCTCTGATTTAGTGCTGAATTATAGCCCAGGGTTTAAAATTAGGGTGAATGCAGGTAATCTTGTTTATGTGAATGGATGTAACCTGAACACCTTTTCCTATCCAAGATATCATACATTTAACAGAAACTTTTCAGGCCTTGAAATATTGCCCCTCCACTCAGAATGTATATAAACACATACTTGTGTGCAATATGCACACGCATAGATACATCCACACATGATTCCCTGCATGCTATTGATATCAAGTCCTTGACTTTGCTCAGCTGCCTTTGTACTTGGATTAGAAACCCCGACACGCTCAGAACCTCTGACAGTCAGAGCAGAGTGACTAATACAAGAGCTGGAGCCTGCTCCACAGGAGAAAAACACCGTGACTCAGCCCATACGCATCAGATAGGGCTGATAATTCTTAAGTATGAAAGTTCATTTTGGGATAGTCAGTGAGCATTTTACATAAGCTTCTCCCTGCTCTTGGAACCCCAAGGACAAAGGCAGCGCTGGAGTGTGTGCTGGGGAGGTGCTGTTAGAAGCCACTTTCCATGTCTCCATCATGCTTGCTGCTGCCGTTCTCCGCTCACCCAGGCCCTCCAAGGGGTGAACCAGGCACTCACCTCCTCTTTGAACTGAGCAAATGTCTTCCGAACCCCATCCCGGCAGAAGACCAGAGCCTCACGGTCAGGAAACCGCTCGACGGTCTCATCCAAGCACTGGCCTGTGGTTTTGGTAAGCAAGGGGATGTCTGAGGTCCCCTGGATATAGCTGTTGGTCAGCCTTAGGGAGGCAGAGGGCACCCCCGTGTGCAGGGCACTGGGGAAGAAGAGTCTGGTTTTAATATAAGCCATTAATATCATCTTCCTAGAAGGATCATCAACCTGCCCACAGCACCAGCAGTACCCAATGCATATCCCCACACCAACGGGGCCCACAGGCAGCAGCTTCAGCAGGTCAGGAGGGTGCTGAGGCGCTGGCACAGGGTGCCCAGAGAAGCTGTGGCCGCCCCATCCCTGGCAGTGTTCAAGGCCAGGTTGGACACAGGGGCTTGGAGCAAGCTGCTCTAGTGGAAGGTGTCCCTGCGCGTGGCAGCGGTTGGAACTGGATGAGCTTTGAGGTCACACATCAGCCTGAACTCAATTTCCCCCCATTCATTATGGGATCAATATTCTGCAAAGACTTGGCTGCTATTTACCATGAAAGATTCTGTTTTCTGCTCACAAGGAACAAAACCTACCATGAAATCTCTCCCCTTGTGGAGTGAGTGCAATCTCAAGAGCACGGAGATTTTACCTTCCAGGGGCAGTTTTGCTCTGGAAGCTAATTGATGCCCTCCTCCTCTTTGCCCCACTGCTTTTGGGCAGATGGAGGGTTGTGCAAGTCAACAGGCTCTGTTTCGACATGATTCCTAGCAGAGCCCTTGGGTGACTCACATCAAGGCTGCAGGGCTGCCTAAGGGGGAGGACAAGTGCTAAACTACCTTTCGCCATTTGAAAGCTCCTGAGCAAAGCACATAGATAAATGAGGAGATGAAAGGAAGCTCTGCAGAAGAAAAACCTTCATAAATAGAGCTTCTACAAAACACAGGTTGTAAAAGCTCCCCTGAACCCAAGGGAAGGACAAGCTGCAAGAGCCTCTACAGGCACAGCTACTCGGCCGTTTGAAGCGGTGATTGGAGAAGTCACATCTCGTTGCCATGGCATGGTCTGAGAAGCAGCTCCAGCCACCAGCCCAAGCAGGTGAGGAAACCACAGGCTGCTTGCAAAGCTGTTTAATGGAGACAACCACGTTCTCATCCCTCTAAAGCCAAGCCACCTCCAGCTGCAGAGGAGCCTATCCTTAAACTCTCTGCTTGTCCCTGCCAGCAGAGGCACAGAGAGGTCCCTGCTTGCTCCTGCAGCCTGAGAAGGGCTGGAACAGGCAAAGAGCAGCCGGTGAGTGGGTTGTGCAAGAGCACATTCCCTGAACGTCATCCAGGGAGCATGGGGAGCTGCGCAGGCTGGAGTGGGAACAGGCGAACACAAGCGTTTCATGGACTGCAGTGACTGGTGACAAACCTGGTCCAAGTGTTATTCTACCACATCACTGCAAAACAAAACACAAAACCCCCCACAAAGAGACCGGAGAGGGAGGGAAAACTGTTACAAAATTCAGACTGTGACAAGATCCAATCAAAATCCCTAAGGTCCAGCTGCAACAGCCTCCTCCCTGCGCAGTCAGCCTTCAAGGCTCACTTGCACAAGCACTGCTAATGAGAAGGGTGATTGATGTTTTACAGTGTCGTGCCTTGGCAAAGCACTGCGCCCGCCAGGCTTTCTGGTCCTGCTCTCAGTTCTTTTCCTTGCCTGAAGACCCAAAGGGTTTCACTGACCTCGTAGGAACTTTCACACTGAAGGCAAGAAGGTGCAAAGCCAGAGCCAAATGATGGTTCTGTCTCCAGTCTTCCTCCCTGCCCCGAACACAGGGAGGAAACCATAACAAAGTGCAGTAATAGTTCTCTTTATAAAGCCCTGCACTCCAAAACACTTCCCTCTCAGCCTGGAACCACACAGAGCTTGCTCTCAAGGGTCCCAGGCATCTTCAAATCCCATTCACATCATCAAATAAGAGCATCAGCAGCACTGAAATTGGGGCCCAAGATATCTCATGCTCATAACCCACAGTCACTAACTGCCCTCAAAGCACTTGCTCACATGGTTATATAAAACACATTAAGCAAAGCACAGTTCACAGCTGCCATCGAGCTTGAGCTCCCTGAATTCTAGTCTGATGGTCACACATGCTTCAGCATCTCTGCATCACTTATCTCCTGGCCATGGCAGAAGTGAAAGGTGTGGGATAAAACACAGTAGTCTGCTGGAAGCACTGGAGGTCAGAAATGGAAGGAATGAGGCAGATACAAGATTCATTATCAGTAGCATCATGCAGGAAATCACATAGCATTGATTTCCCTCCTGCCTATAATCAACAGCAAGTGTATATATCTGATGTGAAAGAATGTACCAACAGACCTCTGCAAAGGATATGGAAATCACCTTTTTGTTCATCGTTGTTACAGAAAACAAGTGATTCACCTTCCACCTCTTCCTGTGAAGCATCTGGTACTGCTGGAGATGCACAAGACCAATGGTCTGGTATTACAGCAGCTCTCTTTTCCCTGGATTAGCTGGAGGAGAGCAAATAAAACTGCTTCCTCTTGGGTCTCAGCATAAACACTGCTCTCAGAGAGCACATGCCTTCTGTTGGCAGCAGCAAGACAGCCCGCGGTGCCTGCAAAGAGCCAGCCCCAGCATCGGGCAGAACTCCATAACCCTGGAATCTGATGGTGCAACTGAATGGAGAAACATCAGAGACTCGGGGGAAACTCATCCCTGTTGTCTGCTGCGAGAGAAAGGCGAGGAGCCGCATCCTGGCAGTCCCAGAGAGCTCTGGACCCTGAGGGCGGCGGGATGAAGCAACCCTGGGAGCTCTGGTGTTTACCTCTGATCAGCCCCAACCACTGTTTTATAGCTGTCGATATAAGATAACCAGCTTCGGTTTTAACTCTTCACCACTCTCTATAGACAGTATCCGACGAGACAAGAGATGAACACAGGGCAGAGGCATCGCTGTAACCTCCTGTGCCCATGACAAGCACACCTCACAGCCATAGAGGACATTGACCTGAGCTTCGGTGCTATCCACCCAGCACAGTGAGGACAGGTCCTGCCCTGACTACAGAGTTCAGACCCAGAGAGGTTCACAGGCTCCTCTGCCAACTCCTTTGCTCACAGATACCTTTTGCACCAAAGCAAGACCTTCTGGGTCTTTTATGTAACACAACTGCAATAAAAGAGTGGTTAAAGTTAACCCTGCTCTGTCCTCGCCTCTTTACTCTTTAAAGCAACCCTGTTGACTAGAGAGTCAACCAGGCTCTCATTAAGGCTTTTGGTTTGCTTCAGTTTCAGGAAGGATCAAGTCCCCAGAGCTTTCAGACTCCTACTACAGCAGACTTTCTGGTTACGTTTCCCACTGTGCCTCCCTCCCCTCTGCACTCTTCCTGCCAAAAGGACAAACACTGCGTAACTAGGAGCAGAACGGCACAAGCTCTTCTAGAACATTACTAGAAAGACTTCGCTCCTTCTAAATCTTTTTCTCCAAGTGCTTTGTATCCCTGCCTCTCAGTTTCACTTCTGGGCTGGAGTTTAAACTATAGTGAGCTCTCTGTCGTGCTTCACTTCCCATTCTGTTTCCTAAGAATGGATTCCAATGGCAGTCTTGGCTCCAGCCATACACACATGGGCTTCCATTACCTTACTCCTAATCCCAACCCCGCTGAAAAGGAATACCTGGACCCTCTGTGTGGGAACATCAAGGGCTGCTGCCCACTGCTCTTGGGAAATTGCTCCCTGGAAGTCCGAGTTGGAGGCTCTGAGGATCAGTTGATCCTTCCAAGCCTTTCCCAAAGCCAGTTGCTTTCCTACTGCTGATCTTTCCCATGAACCTGCTCCAAGAGGCAGCACTGAAGAAAAGTGAAGGGAAGAAGTGGCCTGACCCCTCCAAACCCCAGAGCTCCACAATGCCTCCCACCACCCTACCCAAGCCTAGGGTCTGCACGGCCACTCAAGGACAGGGACACTCGATGGAGCCCACCGAAGATGTTTGATACACTTCACATTACTACAGTCAGGACGGAGCTGCTGCACAAAGTTCAACCCCAGTCACACAGTCACATCCCTCCACAAGCTACATGAGGCTCACTCCTGCCCCTGATCTCCCCCCAGGTGGGGGTGGGAGGCAGACCCAGGGGATGCAGCCCATCTCCTGCCACTTTAGAGAGACTTTAAGGAAGCCAAAGGACAGCAACACTCTGAAAGTGAAACCTCCAGCTAAACCCACCCCGCACATAGCCACCCCCTGGCTGGGCACCCACACTCCTCTGCAGCTGCCCTGTAGTCCCTGTCCCACATCACACATGGCCTCCATCCCCTAAAGCCCCCATCCCTGACCCTACAGCCTAGGTGCCCTATAACCCCCCATCCTCAGCCCCCACAGCTCTCCATCCATTATGGCCCCCCAACCGCTCACCCCTTTGTCCCCTCTATCCCTCCATCCCCTATAGCCCCCCACGCCCTCTCACCCATGGTCCCCTGTGCCCTATAGCCGCCCATCCCCTATAGGCCCCCAGCCCTCCATCCCGGTCTCCCGGTCCAGGCCCTACCTGGGCGGGGGGGCTCCCCGCCGCCCTCCCGCCCGGCGCAGGAGGGTCAGCCCGCTCCTGGGCAGCGCTGCCAGCCTCGCCGTGGCCATGCCCGTAGCAGCGGGGGTACGAACCGGGCCGTGAGATACAGGAGGCGTAGGGGAGGCGGTGCGCGGCACTGCCCGCCCCAGCCCCAGCCCCAGCCCCGGCCCCGGCCCCTACCCCCGCCCGGCCCCTCGCCGGTCCCGCCCCGGCGGGCTGCGGCCCCCTTCGGTCCCGGCTGGGAGGAAGCGCCTTGTGGGACCGGAGAACGCGGCCGCCCTGCCCGTGCCGCGGGGCGAGCAGCGAGGGGTAGGGACAGGCGGAGCGGGGACCCCCTACGGCAGCACAGAGCCCCGCCGGGTACCTTCCCCCTGCGCCGCCTCCATCCCTCGGCTACCCCCTATCACGGCTCTTCCACCCTGTCAGCCTCACCCCAGCCCTTGTGCACCCCGAAGAAGCCCCGCACCCTTGCTGAGATGGACTTGGGTGCGGGTCAATCATCATCACTTGTCCCTGCTCTCCTTCACCTGCGCTGCTCGGTGCCCGCGCCCTCTGAGTCACTGATTGACCTCCAGCCCCGTCTGCTCCAGGAGTTCGCACAGTCACCACCTCGCTGCCCTTCAGCGCTCCCTGCCTGCACCCTGCGGGCTGCGGGAGGAAGAACAGCAGAGCTACCCCGGAGCTGGGCAAGGAGAGTTCATAGGATCACAGAATGGTTTGGGTTGGAAGGGACCTTAACATCATCCAGTGCCAATCCCCTGCCATGGGCAGGGATGCCTCACACTACACCATGTCACTCAAGGCTCTGCCCAGCCTGGCCTTGGACACTGCCAGGGATGGAGCATTTACCACTTCTTTGGGCACCATAGAATGGTTTGGGTTGGAAAGGAGCTTAAAGACCATCTAGTTCCAGTTGTTTGCTGTGGGGAAGCTGGAGTTCAGGGTGTCTGCAGCACATTAAGCATAACAGCGCTGATGAGCAAGGGCATCGATACCAGTCTCACAACAGCGAATCTCAGCCACCTAAGTCATAAACGTGCCCATAACACAGCCGCATAGTGAAGCACTGACTGCAGCTCCCCGCTGTGATACTTGGGCTTCAAAGTTTTGAAGCAGGAAGGCTTCACATCCAGTGTGCGTGTTGTTCACAAGGAGCTTGGTTGGTGGCAGTGGTGATGGTGGTTCCTTTTGGTAGGAGAAGGGAGATTTGTGTCTTTGAAGTGGGAAAAATCAGCCCCAGCGGCAGAGGGGACACTGGGTGAGGGAGGACAGGGCTCTGCAGAGCAGGGTCTGAGAATGGTCTCCGACATGATCAGCTCCTGCCCCCAGGGCCATAACAAAGATTGTGCCATCAGGATTAGATCCTTCTCCTTGCTGGTGTTCCTGCAGCATTCCTCTAGCAGAGGGAGCCTCATGGAGGCTCCAAATCTTTCCAGCCCCACACAGGTGCCTCCATATAGGGGTCAGTCCCACTAAAATCAGTCGCACCATGAGTTTATGCATTTCCACAGGTGACATAAGGCTGTTTGATGTTCATGGCCAGGAGCTTTCCTGTTACTGCTGCAGCACAGAGCAGTTATCTTTGTGCTGTGGTCACATCACAGTGTCCTCAGTGTTGTATAATTACAGGGAGAAAACCCAAACCTGCCTGGGGCCCAACCACATCACTTTTAATCAACAAAACTAAAGCTGACTTCCAGACTGATCTTCCCACGTTCCAATCATTACCCTGCAGGGTGAATCCCGGTTAGGCATTAAACCAAGAATGATTCAGGACCTGACGTGACCTTGACTTTTGGGTACATTTGTTGGAGATTGTCAAAGGCTGAACCCAGTGACACTTTCCACGCCATTCAGGATCGTCCCTTTCTGATGGAGGTTTTAAGATCTGCGTTCGAGTTAATCACAAATGAGCAGAGGTTTGTAACTGATCTACACCCTCGGTTTTCTGCGGAGAGCCAAAGGTTCCTGGACTCGGGTCGGCGCAGAGGTGCAGATTTCAGCCCCAGCAGAAAAAAAGGCCTTTCCCAGAGATGCAGAGGGTCTTGCCCAGGCTCCGAACTTTAGTGCCTAAAGCAGCTGACAATCTGGAGAAGGACTTTTTATAAAGGCCTGTAGGTGGTGGTGGCTTTAAACTGCCAGAGGGGAGGTTTAGATTAGACATCAGGCAGAAGCTCTTCCCTGTGAGGGTGCTGAGGTGCTGGCACAAGGTGCCCAGAGAAGCTGTGGCTGCCCCATCCCTGGCAGTGTTCAAGGCCAGGCTGAACACAGGGGCTTGGAGCAAGCTGCTCTAGTGAAAAGTGTCCCTGCCTGTGGCAGGGGGGTGGAACTGGGTGAGCTTTAAGGTCCTTTCTGACCCAATCCATTCCATGGTCTCCTGGATGAAAGCACATTAACCTCAGGCGGGTTTTGTTACAGTTTCTGTGATACAAATCCTTGTTTGCCGTTTTGGGGTGCCTTTGCTCAGAACTCCAGGTCACGAGCAAACACGGTTGCTGGGTTGAGATTATCACGCACTCGTGGGGCAGTGCGTGGCCGGGGCTAGGGCTGATGTAGCTGACACAGCATCACTGCCTGCGGACCCGGGCTGTGTCCCCTTCCCCTCCCACGCACGCGGAAGGCCCTAGAGGTGCGGCAGGACCCCCGACATCCGGGATGCCGCGGGTCCGGGGCGCGGGGGTACCCCGAACCGCCTCCGGTGCCCCGCTCCGGGCCGGCAGGGGGCGCGCCCGGGCCGGCGCGGACGTGGCCGCGGACGTGGCCGCGGAAGTGGGTGGCGGGGCCGATCGGAGCCGAGCCGCGCGGCAGCGCGTTGCTCACGGCCCTCGGAGCAGCCCAGCCGCCATGTCGCGGGGCGGAGGGAAGGGGCAGAGCCTGAAGGATAAACTGGATGGCAACGAGCTGGACCTGAGCCTCTGTGACCTGAACGAGGTGCCGGTCCGGGAGCTGGTGAGCGTCCGGGCCGCGGCGGCCGCCTCAGTCCTTGGGAAGGGGCTACGCGGGGCAGCCAGATGTGCGCGGGGCAGCCAGATGTGCGCGGGGCAGCCAGATGTGCTGACGGTGCGCGTGAGCCGAGCTGGAACCGGCAGGGATGAGGGGATGGTGTCCTGCTGGCCCAGCTGCTGCTGCTCGCATCCATTGCGGGATTCATGCTGCCTTTAGACCCATCTGGACATGGCGGGACCCCGCAGCGGTGTCGGGAGGGTAGGGGTGTACCTCGACGGTGGTCCAGTGCTCTGCTTCTCTTTCAGGCTGCTCTTCCAAAAGCCACTGTGTTGGATTTGTCCTGTAACAACCTCATTTCCTTGCCGGTAAGGTGCTAGAGAGCCTTGGTGGGGGTGAGTCTGCTGGGAAATACTGAGAAAGGATAACTAGTGCTTCCATAAAGGTTTGCTGGGAGGGCTGGAACCGGCGCTTCCCTCATCCCGGGATGGCTGAATGACTCTTCTGTGGATGACGGGTTGCGCTGCATAAAGATTGCAGTGTCTGCCTGCCAGAGGCTCCCCACACGAATCCAGAGCAGCTCCATCAGCCTTGGGGCCTCCGGTTTGGTTCTGGTGCTGACGAGGGTTCTGTTTATGCTTGGGTTTTAGTCAGACTTCTGCAGTTTGATGCATCTGGTGAAACTGGATTTGAGTAAGAACCGGCTCCAGCAGCTGCCCTTGGACTTTGGGCGCCTGGTCAACCTGCAGCACCTAGACCTCCTGAACAACCGTTTGGTCACCCTGCCAGTCAGCTTTGCACAGCTCAAGGTAAAACTGCTTGCTGGGCAGTTACGTAAAGCTTTGGGATGCAGCCCAGGGTCTTGTGATCCTTCTCAAGTTGATTTCTCTGGTAAAGCATCCATCCTGCTGATTACCCGCTCCAAAATCCAGCTGGCTCTGCACAGCACCTCGGTGGAAATTATCTCACAGCTATTGGAAATGTCTCTGCTCGAGCTCTCTGCTCATCTTCTGTACCTGTTTCATTCATGTGAAAACTAAATAGTCCTCTGCTTCTGCTTTGGATCTCTTGAATAACTGCAAGACTACCGTGCTCTTACAGCCTCCTCTTTATCATTCCTGCCTGCAGAACCTGAAGTGGCTGGATCTGAAGGACAATCCTCTGGATCCTGTCCTGGCTAAAGTAGCAGGAGACTGCCTGGATGAGAAGCAGTGCAAGCAGGCTGCTGTCAAGGTAAGGAATTTGCTTTTGTTCTGTTTTCCCTTACTTAGCTTTGTCAGTGGACATCCTTCCTCTTTTTGCTTAGCGAACTGGGCAGCTGCTGCAGCAGTTTGAATTATCTTCAGCCAGTGAGGGGCAGGTTCACTGCACTCACTTCACTGCTGCTGTGCCTGTAGAGAGCAAACACAGGGATGAGTAGGATTCTCTTCCATTGGTGGAGTTAAGAGAGGAGTAAATGCTGGTTGCCACGAAAGTGGAGGCATAATCAGACAAAATAATCCATGTCCAGAGTAAAAAAAATTCTGGAGTTCTGGCAAACTGTAGGCTCATGTAAGCAGAAGTGGTCTATGAGCCCCTATATTGGCTACCACCAGGTTGATTTGTAACAGGGAGATCTGTTTCTTAACCACAAAGATTCAGGCAGGAAGGTGAAACCTCTCTTCAGAGCCATATCCACAGGGATAAGTGGGGTTGATTCAGCCCCAGCCCTGCTCCTGCTGCTCTGCTTTGAACTGACTGTGCAACGAGACCTCTGCAGAGCTCTCAGGTTGTTTTCTTGGACCTTGAAGGTGCTGCAGCACATGAAAGCCATCCAGTCGGAGCAGGATCGACAAAGGCAACGGAAGCTCCAAGCAGAGAGAGGTGAGCACAAGGAGCCCTCATGTACTGAGGACTGTTTCTGATGTCTCACACATCTGAACATCCTAATTGCCATCTAACATATTTGTAACTGTCAAAATCCTGAGGCTCAGGGAGTAATAGGGTAGAAGGGCTGGAGGGAGAAAGACAGTATGGGGATAACTGTGATTACTTGCCTGAATAGTTAGAGCTCTAGATGGAATGTGCTGTAATTTAACTATAAAAATATGAAAGCAGAGCACAGGATTTATTTTAAGTGAAGCCTAATTCTGAGGGAGCCAAATGCAAGGTATGTAATATCCAACAAAAAAAAGATTAAAACAGGATAGTTACTTGACTGGTTTCCTCATTCCAATTGGGAACAGATAAGCAGGTAATAAGGAAGAAGGAAATGACAACCCTATATATAAAAAGGAAAAAACTTTGTATTAATCCCCAGAGATGGAGAAGAAGCGTGAAGCAGAACAGCGAGCAAAGGAGGCTCAAGAGAGGGAGCTGAGGAAGCGAGAGAAGGCAGAGGAAAAGGAGCGCAGGAGACGGGAGTACGATGCTCAGAAGGCTGCAAAACAGGAGGTGGAAAAGAAAACTAAAAAGGAAACCATGCAGACCCGAAGTAAGTAGTACCTGTTTGGGGTGGGATTGCACCAGAGTTCATCCTTGTTACACTTCAATGCTGCCTCTTTATGGGGGGAACCTATAGGACATGCGTCACTGCTGTGTCCTTTTCCCCTTCATCTGTGTTCCCAATGAACTGCTGAGCTAGAGTATTCAGAAAGTTCTTCATCTGTCCTAGGGAGAACTTGCCTTACGTCAAGTGTACTGAACCATACGTGCAAAACCTTGTACAACACAGAGGTGCTTTACACCCTCTCCACTGCTGCCCCTGAAACTAAAGCTGAAACTTTTCATCCTAAACATACATCCTAAACACAAATCCTGCACGTTTACTTAAGCGATGAATATTCATGACAAAAGACAGCCGCAGCACAGGCTGAAGTACCTTATCCGAACAGCTCATTTCTGAATGTGACTTAAAAGATTCTTGACTAATCTCTCACATTCTGTCTTGTAAATGTTCTGGTTACAGAGCCCACCTCCAGCTCTCGTCCCCCACAGCCGCCCCGGCACAAGCACTCTTCTTGGTCACGGTCAGTGCTCAGAATCCTGCTCTTTCTGCTGCTGTGTGTCCTCTGTGTTTTGGCCACCTGCAAGCTGACAGAGCTGCAGCGTCAACCTCTGTGTGTCAGCGTGAACACTCTCTACGAGGATGTGGTGGCTGCTCTGCAAAACCACAAAACCCTGCAAAACATGCTACAACAGAACTCGCAGCACTGATTGTCCTGGACGGGCACTTGCTTCGTCAGCATCTCCTTCCACCATCTACGCAGCCAGAATTCCTATGGAATTGTGTTCTGATGAAACTGCTTTTAATCAGTCAGCATTGGTTTGCTGGTCCACTCCACACAAAGCAGAGTTATTGCTCACATCATCTTTGCTGTGCATGTTTCCCAGTTGGCCTGTAACTCCCATTACTTGCCCACGTTAACCTAAAGTCATTAATACTTCTTACCTCCAGGGGATCTTTACCCAGATAGTGAGATACAGAAAGCTGCCAATCCATAGGAGTGGAAAAAAAAAGCCTTTGCATTACCTAGGTAGCTATAGTTGTGTCTTGGAGGTGGAAGGTTTTTAATACATATCCATTCATTGCTCTCATTTCTATTTGTGCTAAAATTGATGATATGGCTGTATGGGAATAATAATGAAGGCCTACTCCAGGACCAATTACAAGTGTGTAGGATGGCTGTGCAGCCACATGTTGGAGCGAAGAAGCTGATGTACTAGTGAAAGGAGCTGAAAATTTTCAATACAACAGTTTTCGCAGCAGTCTGTCTCTACTGGATGTTTATGTTGCTAATGTGGTTTTAATTTCAATTAGCTCTTTTAGAAACAGCCACACATTATTTCCAAGTACATACAGTAATGATTTCTAACTACATTGAAGCAGCTGGTGCCAACAGAGCGGCTGCAGCATAGGGAAGGCTTGGGGCCAGCCTGGAGGCTTGTTTTGTGTCTGAGACCCAGCATGAGGGTGCTGGCAGTAGCTGTGGGTGCTGAGGCAGGCAGGCAGAAAAGGGCTTTGCCTCGGGGCTTGCTGGGAGGTTTGGTTTGCACCTAAAGAAAACTCGCCTGAGCAAAGGCCAATGAATTATTCATAGTTTCCTTACAGAGAAAAGCAAACAGACGTTTATCATATCCTTAAGGGCTGTGTGAGCACCGAGATGTACACATGATGTTGTTAAGCACAGATATTCTCTGAAACTCTACAAACTCTGCTGAGACATTCTACATTAGTCACAGAATCAGTCCCCTCTCTTCTTCTTTTATGTGCAAAAAAACCCAACAATATTCAAAGCAACATTTCCTCCTGCAGCAGCTGGCAGGAACCTGCGACTTAAGTTCATAGAATCCCAGACAGGTTTGGGTTGGAAGGGACCTTAAAGCTCATCCAGTCCCAACCGCTGCCACGGGCAGGGACACCTTCCACTAGAGCAGCTTGCTCCAAGCCCCATCCAACCTGACCTTTAACACTGCCAGGGATGGGGCAGCCACAGCTTCTCTGGGAACCCTGTGCCAGTGCCTCAGCACCCTCACAGGGAAGAATTTCTTCCCAACATCTAATCTAAATCTACCCTCTTCCGGTTTAAAGCCATTGCCCTTGTCCTGTCCCTACAGACCATTGTCCAAAGCCCCTTTCCAGGTTTCTTGTAGCCCCTTTAGGCACTGGGAGCTGCTCTAAGGTCTACCCGGAACCTTCTCCAAGCTGAACCAGCTCAGTTCTCTCAGCATGTCTCCAGAGCAGAGCTGCTCCAGCCCTTGCAGCATCTCCATGGCCTCCTCTAGACTCACTCCAAGAGCTCCACATCGCTCCTGTGTTGAGATCCCAGAGCTGGACACAGGACTGCAGGGGGAGTCACCACAGCAGAGGACCCCTCCCCTGACCTGCTGGCCATTTCTTTTGATGCAGCCCAGAACACAGTTGGCTTCCTCGGCTGCAAGTTCCCAAATGCCAGACTGATCAGGTGTATCAGTTTGAGTCAGAAGCATGCTGCTGGCCAGGCTAAGGCTTCTAGTGAGCCTCTGAAGCCAGCGTGGCAGGTGGGTATTTTTTCATCCAAGACAACACATTTCTAAAGGGTAACTTCCACACATCAGATGCAGTTTAAAATTCACTCTCAACACTCATCTCAATAAGTGCTGCTGCCACAAAAGACTTCAAGTGTCCTTGTGTGCTCACAAGTGCTAGGCTTCACAGAGGGGCAAGCGTGCTCCCCAGTCTAATTAAAAGAAAGCTTTTTCTGCCAACTGTTCAGTACTCATAATTCCAGCACATATAATCAGATTTCAAGACCCTCTATAGATTAAGCTGTCTGGAGACTGAATCAGGGCAGTCTAAATTTATATCTGAAAATTAGTCTTACTCATTCCCATCTGCCACAGCGGAAAACTGAGTCTGCTTTGAGAGGTAAAGCTCTTCCACCTCATTAGAGTGGGTGCTGGGGGGGGCTGCACCATGTTGCCTTAGCATTAGGATTTTTCACCCCAGAGAAGGAATGCAACTCCTTGCAGTTTAGGAGAGCAGTGGAAAGTATTCCTTTCAATAGATGACAGACCTGTCTAGATTCAAGACCACATATTAAAAAGCAAAATTATTAGTCAAATTATTTATTTACTAGGAAGACAAATAAAAGGAACTATCATTCCTGTAAGCCGCGTCCAAATCATGCTCTTAGGGAAGATGTTTTCCTCATTTCTTGTGTAAACTCCAGCCATTCGGCAATTTAATCCAACCTTCTTCTGCTACAGTGAAGTCCAAGTGCATTTTTTGAAGTCTTTTAACTGGGATCAATGATTCTGTTACCTAAGCACTTCTCCCCAGAAGGAAGCTGAATGCTTAAACAGTAAATACTTAAAGCAGCAAACAGTAAAATCCTCATTCCCTGGAGCTACCCACTGACATCCAAATAGAGATCAGGATCATGAGAAGTCATCTGGAGATAGACTCGTCTGGAGAGCTCCGGTCCGATCCTCCGGCAGGTGGCTGTCACACCATCACCACGGTGCACAGGGATGTTAGCCAGCATGTTCTCCCGCTCCTGCTTCGAGGAGCACCGCATATAGGCCTACAAGCAACACAAAGGAGCAGCAGTATAAGCCATTTGCATTCATTGCTCAAAAGAATCATCAAAGCTTTGCACCCATGGCTGCTCTACCCTTGTTCACAATATACTCTTGCTTTTCACCTGGTCTCTCCACTCCACCTCACTAAACAGCTCAATACAGAATTGTTATGTCACATCTGATAGCAATTAAATGATGTCTTCCACTCCTTACATTAGCTGACTGCACACAGTGCTCACTACTCCTTAGGCATCCTCACCTGGTTCAGAAGCTGAGGAGAAGGGTAGGCAGACACAATAGCCTCAGCCATCTCCAGGCTGACACGGTTAAACTGTTGTAACTGTCTCTTCCAAACTTCCAAGAGACCCTTTCCAGAACGATCCACCTTCACCCCTCCACACCACGCCTTCTCTAAGTAGAAGGAAAATCCCGTGTTCTCCCGCTCTCGCCTGGGAAGAACAAAGAATGAAGGAGCAAATGAGACAATGAGATATGAAGAAAATCCTATCCCTGCATCAGTTGTCACATAACCAGAGACAGAGAGATGTTTCTTACCCTCTGCTGTTAGAGACGCCACTGGCATCAAAGTAAATGCTAACAATTTGACAGCATTTTCTTTACATTTACTTGTTCGAGACCCAGATTTCCTACTCAAAAAGAAACAACCTGTGCTTGGGAGCAATCCTGACACAAGGCAACACACATGCAAAATGGTAAACAAGAATTCACTTTCCGACTGTCAACCATACTACAACACTTTTACGTGTCATTTTTAATGACATTTCCCCTCTTCTCATGGCTGAGATGTCAAATACAACAGATGCTGTGATAGGAATGCTAGGATTGTGTGAGACTGCACAAGATGGCTTTCTTAGCTGTTGGTACACAACATGCTGCTGTCATCAGTGGATACAGCTAAAGAGTTCTCTCTCAGTAACATCCCTCTTGGTTACACACTGAAGAAGAAAAGCTGGTGCTCTATGAGCCTAACCCTACTTGCATTCCCTTCCTGCCCCTAAAATCAGACGAAGAACAAGAGCTCAATGTTAACATACCAACATGAAACCAGGGTCTGTCCTCACCCCTCCCCAGTTTCCACAAATAAACCCTATCCTGTGGGAACTGCACTACAGCTGCTCCACCCCCTGCTCCTTTAAAGATCATTACACTGTGTTGCAGTGAAGTACAGCTGCATACCTGCTATTCCCTCCCAGTAAGTGTGCAAGTGCAGCCAATCCAAAGGGGTGACCAAACCTCATCTGCTTACTCTGTTACCGGAACACAAGAGGTTCCACTTAAACTTGAGAAGAAACTTCTTCTCAGTGAGGGTGACAGAACACTGGAACAGGCTGCCCAGGGAGGTTGTGGAGTCTCCTTCCCTGGAGACATTCAAAACTCGCCTGGACACATTCCTGTGTAACATTATCTAGGTGTTCCTGCTCCAGCAGGGGGATTGGACTAGATGATCTTTTGAGGTCCCTTCCAATCTCTAGCATACTGTGATACTCACTTGAAGGGTGCTTCAGCCACAGATTTTGTGAACATAGTGGCATATTCGCCAAGCTCCTCCCAGCTCTCAAAAAAGCTGACCTGGACTTGTTTGCACAGCTGCAGGTCCACCAAGGCCTGTAAACATTGTTAGAAATGAATGGAACAATTCATCTTGTCACATCAAACCCCACTCTTGAAAAAGGGTCACAATGCCTTGCTATAGAACAAGAACATTCCCTCTCTCCCCATTTGGGGAACAGGTAAGTTAAGGCACTGAAGTATTTAGGGGCAACCTGTCTCCTGCCAGTGAGTATCAGTCTGGCACTATTTCAACTGTGCAGCTCCACAGTGACAGCTCTCATTACACACAAGCCACCCAGCCCAGCTTTGCCAGCAGCCCACCAAGGGTGAGAGATGCTGACCAAGACTGACATCAGAATCAAGATGAACAAGACAGTCCATGGGAGAGCAGTCCATGAGAGTGGGGAACCAAACCCAAAGAGCTCTGCCCACAGATATGTGGACTAAAGAAGGCTGAATGCCTTCCTCCCAAGGTGGTGTAGGTCAAATGTTCAAACAGCAATCTGAATGAACAAGAGATGATGGCTGCATGCCTGCTTTAAAGGTACTCACTTCTTCCACATCCATTCTGGTTATCTCCAGGCCGGAATCCTCAACTGCCCTTTTCTTCCGTCTTCCTTGTCCCTCATCTTGGCTTCCATTTGCTGCTGCTTGTCGCTGTCTCTTTTTTGACTGAAGTCTGAGAGACCAAAGAAGAGTGAAGTGAGGCTGGGATCTCATGCTCTTCCCCAGGTATTTTGTGATGACAGGCCTTTACTTCCATTTCTGTGTGACAAAATAGTGGAGGAGCTCTGAATGGGAATATCTCTTACACTCCAGGCTTTGCTAGAAGGAATTAATATAAATACCTATGGCATTTTTCAAGGCCAAAGATAACACAGAAACGTTTGGAGGGGAAAAAAGTTTAACCTGAAATAACTTTCTACTTCAGCAACTGCCAGTGCCAGAATTTTCCCAGGCATTTTCTCCATCACACGAGCTACATAGGTCTGTAGGGTCTCCTGCTGTCCTTCCATACAGCCCTTGGCCTCCTGCAAAGATTAACAGAAAAGAGGAGTTAAACCACTCTGAGGCACACACACAAGTGCAGCAGCCTATGGCTCTGATTCTGGAGATGAAAAAATCTGTTCATG